CAGCAACGCCGGTTTGTCTATGCGAGGTGTACCGTTTGGCCGGAAGAGCAGCATACGTGCCAGAGTTTCCAAGCGCTGCCCGGTGCGGCCCCCCGGATGCCCGTCAGGGCAAGTGTCAGTGCCCGGCGGAGGGGTCCTCGCATGAACCCCGACGGCGTGCGACACGTGGCGCACGGGCGGCCGAGCACGTCCTCGGCATCGAAGTCCGCCAAAGTGGCAAAAGCGCGCCGCAGACTGGATCCCTGCAGGGCGCTTTGGTCGGGCGGGTGCTGGGTCGTCACTGGAGGCGCGCGCTTGGGGGCGGCTTCCTCCCGAGGGCTGAGCCCGACCCGGGACCCGGAGTTATTGGAGCTGGAGCTGGAGCTGCTGGAGGTAGCTCGTGGCACCGGCGGGCCACCCGCTGGGGTAGCAGCGGCCGCACGGTCGGGGAGGGGGAACCGGTTGAGCGCCGACGCCAAGTGGATGCCGCCGTAGCATTCGAGTAGGGCTTCCTGCACGGGCGCCAACAAGTAGCCGTCCGGCACCCGGAGCTGGCGAACCGCCCAGCCGACATGGACGCGAGCACTGCTGGGCAGCGCCGCGTCCACGACACGTGAGAGCAGGTCCGGAAGGTGGTGTTCATGGGCAGGCGCAACCTCGCGAGCGCGTCGGACGTGAAATCACCCGCAGCCGCACGGAGGAGGGGGACGGGGGCGGTCCACGCGACCGCCAGAATGCACGGCCGGCGCCCCGTTCGACGCACGGCCCAGTGCGGCGTCGCTTGCTGGGGGTGGAGCACAGAGTCCCTACAAAATCACTTGCGGTGGCAACCACATCCACAGCCACATGCAGTAGTTTATGGGCAGTCCATCGAGCCCGCTCAAGTTCACGTCTGGGTTTTGGCTCCTTGTGGGCATCATGACTTTTTGAATGGCCGCTCTGCGCTCCATCGTGGTGTGAACCTGCAGCGACCTTGTCGTCGATTTTGTGCTTGCCACCGACTCACTCCAGCATGCTCTGTTGGAATTCTGCGCACAATCAAGCGCGCCAGCGATGGCGCCGTCACGCGTTGTCCCTGGACACATTGTTCAGCACGGAGCCCCATGTCAATGGCACACGAAGTATCGCACGTAATGTTGCATTTGTGGCTCATGTATGCCTTGCCGCTGCGGCGTGTGAGATGTGAGTGCGCTTCCAGAGTGGCGCTTTCACACAGTATATATGCATTCAAAATGTCAGTAGTTTCTTGACATTGTCACGTTTGCTTAATTAAATTCATCGTGACACACACACGATCGCTCAAGCACCCGTTTCTCTCTCTTTCTCTTTATTTCTTGTTTCTTTGTTTTTTTATTTCTTTCTTTTTTCTTTTTCGCATGACTGGACTCCTGTTGTGTCGCAGTTTGCTTGTTGTGCTGTTGTTGCTCCGGTGTTTGCCGTTTTTGTTGACACGTTTATGTTTTTGTCAAGTAATATTTTTGTGTGACACGACATGTCAGAGACTGAACATTGATGTGCTGATGTAGAAAAAAGCGCAAGCTGCTGCCGGAACCCGGAATACATGGCCCTCCTTCGCGCGCCCCAAGAGCATCGCGGGCAGCCGGCACCCTTGTCTTGCGACACGTCCGCGGTCCCATGCGGTCCCTCAGCCAGGCCGTCTCGAGCACGCGCTCGTCGCATGCATGGGCGGCCCCACGCTGCCAGAGGGACTGGCTGGCTCGTCGTTGCAGAGGACGGGTCCGGTGGGGCGGAGAAATCGTCATCCCAGGTCGGCACCGCGTCGCCGCGGCCACTGCGGTGCAGTTTGCGTGGTGGCGGGGAGCTGGCCACCTGCGTGCGAAGGGAAAGCAGCAAGCGGTCAGCCGCCGAAGTTGAGCACGTCTGCATAACAGGGAGGCTGTCCATCCAGGAAGCCCTGCCAGCGGCATGGCGGTCGGCTGTGGCCTTGCACAAGCCCAAGCCACCGAAGCACAATGGCAGGCGCACCGCTCGCCTATAACCGGAGCTGAACGCCGGCGGCCTGCAACAGCTCGTGCTGTTGGGGAGCGAAGTTGGAGCACGCTGGAATGTCGATGCGCGCCAGCTAGTTCTACCTGATTCCAGCGGTTTGAGAGTCGACGGTTGCGTGCTCTCCTCTAAGCGCTGCCCGTGCTCCCCGACCTCCAAGGTCGCATGGCTTTTTCTGTCCTACTGTGCGTGCCCTCGCGCGCCAGGACCTCATCGAGGCTCCCGGCGCCGCGGCCAACGCGGGTTCGGCCATGCTTGCTGCATGGTGACCGTCTCGTAATAGGTGGTTGGGGGGGGATTTCACGTGGATTCCCACCTATGTTTCCTGGAGCCCGCCACCTATTCTACCACCGTGGGGGGGGTGGGGGGAAAGAGGTGGCACGTATCATTTGGTTCTATGAAGTACTCCTTCTACTACTACTACTACTACTACTACTACTACTACTACTACTACTACTACTACTACTACTACTACTACTACGACGACGACACAACTACGACGACAACTACTACTACTACTACTACTACTACTACTACTACTACTACTACTACTACTACTACTACTACTACTACTACTACTACTACTACTACTACTACTACTACTACTACTACTACTACTACTACTACTTCTACTTCTAGATCTACTTCTGCTACTTCTGCTAGGTGGGATCACTGTGAGAGTATATAGAGAGGCTAGTAGGAGGGAATGGTAGGGAACCTGACAGAAATAGGTGGCAAGGCAGGGCGGGTTGTGGGGATAGTGTAGCAGGGCACATACGAACCGCGGGGTGCCCCCCTTTCCTTCTACTCATTTAGGTGGGGGGATACTGTCGGTATATATCGGGGTGCTACTAGGGAACCCACCCTATTTCTGTGTAGGTTCGCTTAGAGCAGCTTTTCTGTTTGCTCCCGCAATAACCAAGCCTAAATGGGTAGAGGGAAAGGGGGTCACCCCACGGTTCGTATGTGCCCTGCTCTACTATTCCCACAACCCGCCCCTGCCTTGCCACCTATTTCTGCGTAGGTTCCCCACATTCCCTACTAGTGAGCAAAAGACTCTCAGCAAACGCTGTGTTGGCACGGTGGTTCCCTCCCCCCCCCCCCCACCCCAGATCCAAAATAGGTGGCCCACCTATTTCGAACCCCCCCCCCCCCCCCCCCCCCCTTCTGCGAGCGGGTCATCATCTTGCTGCGCAGAAACGACGAGCATTTTCAGCGACGGGCCCATGCTGTTCGCGCAGGGGCGCGCACACCTGGTGGGGGGGGCGCGGTGTGCGCGGAGGGCGACCAAACAGCGTCACCGCATCCTCGTACACCTCGCAGCCGAGCGCGCATAGGCTCTGCGCCCCACCGGCCACCAGTTCCGGGGTAAGTGGCGTGCTTGCGCCATGTGGCGGCCCTTGGGACAGCCTCATCTGCCGCCGGGATGGGGCGCGCCGTCGCGTTCAAAGGCGACACGAGGGTCGCATCGCAGCAAAGGGCGCCACCCAGCGGCGTCCCCGTAGATGATTTCGTCTCTTGTGATGTATTGTCATTCTCAGCATAAGCGTCCACATTGGGGTGATGAGTACTTCCATGCCGCTTTTGTTCGTTGTGGTTTTTGGGCCACGTTGACGAACCATGCATGCATGTAGCACCTCGTGAACTTTGATCGTTAGCTTTAGCTCGTTTGCTTCGTTTCCCTTTTTCACTTTTTCCTTGTTTCCACTCTTTTTTCCCTCCTCTTCCCTCTTTTTCCCTCTCTTTCCCTTTCTTTCCCCCTGTTTTCCCTTCTTCCCCCTCTTTCCCCCTCTCTCCCCCTCTCTCCCCCTCTTTCCCCCTCTTTCCCCCTGTTTCCCCCTGTTGCCCCCTCTTGCCCCCTCTTTCCCCCTGTTTCCCCTTGTTTACCCCTTTTTTCCCCCTCTTTCCCCCTCTTTCCCCCTCTTTCCCTCCCTTTCCCTCTCTTTCCATCTGTTCTTTTTTAACTCTTTCCCTCCTGCCCTCTTTACCCTCCTTCCCTCTTTTCCGTTTTTCGTTGTTTCCATCCTTTCCCTCATTCTCTCCTTCTCTCCTTCTCTCCTTCTCTCCTTCTCCCCTTCTCCCCTTCTCCTTTTCTCCTTCTCCTTCTTCTTCTCCTTCTCCTTCTCCTTCTCCTTCTCCTTCTCCTTCTCCTTCTCCTTCTCCTTCTCCTTCTCCTTCTCCTTCTCCTTCTCCTTCTCCTTCTCCTTCTCCTTCTTCTTTCTCTTTCTCTCGCTCTCTCTCTCTCTCTCTATCTTTCTCTTTGTCTGTTGTTTTCTGTTTTTTCCACACCTTCCGTGTGGGGTTGTTAGATTTTACACTCAACTCTTCTCCTCGCCCGGAACTGTTCTCCTCGCCCTGTCTACTACTCCTAGAGACTCCCTGCAGTGCCCAATCCCAGAGATTTTGTGGGCACCAACCCCAAAGACTACCTGGAGTGTCCAACCCCAGAGACCCCCTGGAGTGCCCAACCCAAGAGACACCTGGTGCCCAGCCCCAGAGATTCCCTGGAGTGCCCAACCCCAATTGCAAGCAAAAACGAAGAAAGCGTATTTGAATCAATGTGTCTTTGTTTGAACATTGTCTTTGCGCTCTTTCATTTATCGAGGAGCAAGTGGGGATGTTCGAAAATGTTTTTTTTTTACTCTCTCTCTCTCGCTCTCTCTGTCTCTCCTTTTGTTCTTCTCTCTCTCTCTCTCTCATTCTTTCTCTTTGTCTTTCTTTCGCATTCTCTCTCTCTCTCTCTCTTTTTCAGTCTCTCTCTCTCTCTCTCTTTCTTTCTCTCTCTCTCTCTCTCATTCGCTCTGTCTCTCTCTCTCTCTCTCTTTCGCTTTCTCTGTCTCTTGTTGGTTACCTCCGCATACCTCCCGCGGAATAGTCGGGATGCAGATGTTGGGGGGCCCACATGAGCCGATGAGGCCTTGGATGCTTGAGCCGGCGGATTAAGAATCGACTCGGGCAGCCGTGGAGGTGAAGTGACCTTGAGCACGCAACAGACACCAGCTACGTGCGTACGAATGTGCAGGCCTGGCGGTGACCATGCGCGATTGAAGTTGCGCGCGCAGGCCAGGCTATAGCTTCAGCTTCTTCACCCGTCACGTGCTCACAGAAGATGCCGCAAAACATCGCAAAGCGAGCATGCAGGATGTCGTTGGTCGTGCGGGATTCCTTCGAAATTTGCAATGGCCATTGGGATTATTGGGTGGTCGACAGAAGCGGCTTACCTGAACCAAGTTCGTTTGAAATGGATGCTTGTGTTTGGCAGGAAATGCACACCAAGCCCAAAACCCGAGCACACGCCTGGCCGTGCGAAGGCGTGGGAACCAGACGGCTACATTGGAGAAGGCCGATTGTGATGCTTTGCATGTGCCAGATTCTACCTGTGCATCTCGTTGACCGCATTTCAGGATTTTGATGGCGACACGTCGCCGGAAGAGGCAACCGGGGTTGGCTCATGTTGGCTCCAGCTTTTTGTGGTGCAGAGGTTGGATGCGCAAGAAGCAGCTCGAAGAGTCATTGTTTCATCCATTGCAGTGTTCCAATGGGGGCTTCGTGCTTTCGAGTTTACCTGCATCTGGGATGTGTGGTTTCATCAGTAAGAGGTGCCAGTTAAACATTTTCTGTTGTCTGGATATCGGTTATGTGGCTTGGAAACCACAGCAAGAGATAACAAATCAGAACAGAGCCTGAGTTGAACCCAAGACGGCTAGAGAAACACCGGCTCTCCAACATGTGTGTGTGTGGGTGGGAAAACGACTTCGACTTCACAACAGACCAAGGGACAACTACACAAACAATGCACCTAATGGATCTGATGAAGGCATATGCTCATTGCCATTGTGCTGATGCCAGGAGCTAGCTCGGCTTACCAACCCGCAGCAGAATGTCGCCATATTGGGTACGCGGGATTGCACCTACAACCACCAACAGGCCATCAAGCGATGTTATGTTGTGCCACCATGCCGCATTGCCCATGCATTCCGTAGTATTCCGTTCACGAGCAAGCCAGATGTGAGAATGAATTGAGAATGTGAAGAGAAAACCACAGCAAGCTTGTGCGCTTCGAGGAGATCGAGGCGCTCACCCAGGCGGACGGGAATCGCCCTTCTTCTGCGGCTTGTGCAGCGGACACTTGTACCTTTGAAAAGTGGAACCATGCCTTGGTTTCCACTGAGTCCTTAATCCTTTGTGGTTCATGGCTGAAGTTTGTCGGTGTGGAAAGTTGCTGCACCTCCCGTAGCCTAGCTCAGTGCTGAAACGCCATCTTCTGTACACGTCCATCTGCCTTAGCGTCGGCCGTTAGCGGTAGTTCTTGTACCATTTTGTTTTACGTGCTGCTGATTTTGCTCCGCGTCGCAATGTCAGCATGTGTTTTTTTCACCGCAGACTTCGAGACTTTCTGGTTGTTGGTGAAAAAGAACTCCGCCTTTGTGTGAGCCCTGCCAGGGAGGCCATTGCCCGTGGGGGAAATCTGGACTCCACTCATGCCTTCTGCCCTTGCTCAGCCTGCTGGTCTACACCAGCAGGATATGAGCCCAACGTGTGACTACGGCACCGCCATGTTGCAATCACCCCGGCCCACCTCTAGAAAGGGATGGTTTGCCGTGACAGTGGGCATTGCACCGAGTGCCTCGAGTGCCTGGGGAAGGGCATCAGTGGGCATACACATGCATACACCGACATGAGGGGTGTACAGCCTCAGGAAAAATTCCACAAGTCTACCGCCAGTGAGGGTTTGTGGGCAAACTTGCAATCAATTCCACTTCTACATCCTTGGGATCCTTGCTTGTGGCAGTGACGAAGAACCTGGTGATGCGCCTGATGCTCGTTCAGCACCTGGATCTTGGGATTGACACACCTTATTAATGTAGGCATGAAGGAAAACACGAGCGTTATCCGGACCAGGCCTTCACAGGGGCTCAAGGTGTGATGAGTGCTGCGGATGGACTGGTCTCTGCGGCGGTTAGTAACATTAAGACTCAGCCCCAGATCAACAGAAACCCCTTATTAAGATGTAATTGCATGTGTGAACGAAAAAGAGGAAGTGACTACAAACCCGTGTGTGAGCGAATTTCCAGCCCTTTTGACCGCTCTCTCCCCCCAACCTCTGTTCCAAAGTGATCTCATGTGACCACTGCGTTGGATTCAGAACCCAGTTCTTCTTGGTTCGCTAGTACTATTGCCTTCATACCCTTCTAGCCCTTATGTTTTTTTTTATGATTCACCTTTAGGACAAAGTTGATAGGATTATCCCAACCTATGAACCGTGTCCAAATCATGAAGGTGATAACTCCTGATGTTGGGGTCCCAAGGGTGGGTTCCTTGTTCCGCTCGTGCATTCATTGGGTTTATCGCGCTCATTTCGTTCGCTTATAAACAAATTCATCTACTCTCTTCACCTTTATTCTAATTGTAATAAGACAACAGAAGAAGGGAGTGTATAGTTGTATAAACGAGCTAGCGACAGTAATTCAATTATTAGCGCGCACTGAATATTATTGTTTAGAGTTTTTATTAGTGTTTTTGCGGTGAGCCCAACAAGAATATTAAAAAAAGGGGTTTAATACTATTTAAATGTGGGCTTTTACTATTTAAATGTGGGCTTTTAGGAGATTGCGGAAGGTTAGACAGGCGGTGGGGGTCCCGAGGTAAAACCCCCAATTGATCACATGAAAAGGCTTTTGTTTCATTTGCCCTTTCACTAATATTTTTACGAGGGCTTTTTAGGGGGTAACTTCCTATTCAGAAACGCATCTATGAAGGACTTACCGTGTGTCAATCGTTTCTCCTAACCTTAAAACCTTTCCCATCTATTTTCTGAACAGGGAAAAAGTGAAAGACACCATGTTCAAGATATGAGAGTTAGGGTCTTAAGGTGTGACAGGGAGCAAAGAGTGAGGGTTTTTCAGTGCTCCAAAAACTCCTTAAAATAGTATTAAATGAGTTGGTCTTTGGGTGCGTGTAAATCCGATATAAGCGCGAGAACGAAATTCGCTCACTCGTGCATGAAATTTACGCGTCCTAAAAGTCCTTGTAATTTAGTACATCATTCACTCTTCCACACACCACACTATTAATGCGCTCTTCTGTTTAGAAAATGTGGGAACGACGTGAAGCGAAGAGCACACGAACACAATATAACGAGGAGAACGAAGTGTACGCGTGAATTATATTTGAGTGCCTACATCAAACGAGCAGAAGACAAGAAGAAAAGAAAAGGAAGTAAAATACCTAGGGACCCCATTCAGGGCCTTCTTCCACACGAGCATTCGACTGTGCGCAGGAAAACCATTTCGTGACCAATCACATGGGTCCAACTTATTCAGCACATGGGTGGTCACATACTTGCCACCACTCTTCACCACCCTGAGCATTCGCATTTGGACCAATTTTTGAGCACACAGAAAACGCAACTCCACACGCTTGGTTTTCTTACCAGCTCCAAAGCCGGAGGCCGCTGATTTGCAAGCAGGGCTGTCAGTGTGAGCAGTCACGCTGACCTATTTGGCGAATCTGGACCCCAAAAGCATGGACTGCACCCACCAGTGCCAACCACAACAATTTACCAACAGCAGTCCGGTACACTGAATGATCTTTAGCACTCAGCGGTGTATCCAGAAAAGTCTTCACAATCGTTGCAGCCCCCGGCGCGGCTAACGTTTTGGCATCCTTCCAGACAATACCACACTCTGCATTGATGGATTCTTACTGCTTTGTCAAACCAGGCTCGCTGAACGGTTGTCGCATCGCCTCCAGATGGCTTGGTTGACGCTTCGGCCGGGCTCTACCTGCCTAGTCGAACTGAGTGCTTCTTGCGTGAACGCAACCATGTTCACTTCCACTGGAGATGCAGGCTCAATGGGTCGAGACAGGACGAAATGGATGACGTGGCGACTAAGTCTGACTCATGGAGGGTGGCCCACCTGCCGCCCATCCGGACTGTGGCCCGCTCGCTTGCCGACACTCGTTTTGCGCTTCCTCGGCTGGTTTTCGCGAGCAATCGATTCATCGATCGCTTGAAGTTGGATTCGGTACATGGTGGCCGCGTGCGATGGGCAGACACGACCACCTACCGTAGGAGTGTGGTCCGTCCTCCACATACACCGAAGCAAGTTGCTTCGATCAGATGTTAGTTCGATACTTCGGTGATAGCGGTGACGTGATCTATATCTTGGATCAAGCATGCACCGCAAACACCTGCCACACTCGGTTTGCATCGAGGGTTTCGATTTACCTTCGAGAGCGCATTAGTCGTTTAGAAGTCTAGATGTTGTCCCGGCTTTGGCTGGCAGGGACACGTGGAAAGGGGGCATCGCATTTTCACGTCAGGGTCGACACCTCAGTATATCGAAGGCTGATGGGGCGGTGTTCGTGCGGCTGGGCGCTTTGTGGTGAATTGTGAAGTGGTTGGATCCCGTTTTTTCTCCTGTGATCCAGGTCCAGCGGCACAAACTCGGCAGTGATCAAAGCAGTCCTTGACAAAGGAAGGCGGGGTCATGCTGCGAAATGTCAAGCAAAGTACATAGTGGGGGCGTAGGGCATGGGGGGGCAAGGCGGCAGGAGGTCACTCTAGTCTTGTGCGCCTGCGGGTGCCAACTGCTTTCATTCATGAGCTTTGAAAACGCTAGGGCTTTAAGGGCCTTGTTCTTTTGCGTGAAGAGGGCCTCTGGGCTGGAAAGTGGTGGCACAATTCCCTGTTCCAGTTCTTTAGGTTATGTGTTCAACGCAGATTTTTTCTACACGCTGCATCACGCAACGCAGTGACATGTTTGTTTTCCGGGCAGCTGCCAACATGATAGGCTGTCATTTCAGCATCTATGGGCATACTCTGTTGGCGTAACGTCCATGTTCAAGTTTCGCCTTCTCCCTGCCGTTCTGCATGTTGCTTCATGGTAATGTTCGGGGCGCACGACAACGGCTCCTGCAGCATGGGAGATGTCTGTAGATGCGCAGACGACGCCAGGCCTGAGTTGCTCACAGTTGAGCTTCCACAAAGCTTGGAAAAGCAAGACGACGAGGTTCAGGTGCTTCAGTTCTCCGAGAATGCACTCCTCCAGTTAGCTGCTTTAGCCTCCCTTCTTGAGGTGCTGCTGGAGAGGTGCAAGGAAGAAGGGGTGACAGTATGTCCCCACAGGGAATGCGACCACTTGGAGCTTGCTGCCGCTGCTGCGAAGTGCCCTGGTTACAAATTCTTCCAATGAATCTTCCGAAAGACCTTTGTATTGGGAGGTTATGATGGGTCAATGCCTGAAAGGAAAAATCCAGCCCTCAATTAATAACCCTGGGTTTCTCAAGCTGAGGGCCCTCCTTTCTTAAGCAAATTAGAGAAGCAGTTCCCTGTACGATGCGTGCTACTCTGTGATTTGGCGCCGAAGCCTGCAAGGATGGATAGTGTTCTGAAGACATCCTCTCAGGTGCAACACACGCATTCTGGGTCAAGTAGACAGGCCCGCTTCTGCATGCCACGATGCACCATGCACCACGCATGCGCAATCGGCAAGCGCATCACACAACTTGGCGTGCAGACTGGTGGTTTTCGCCACCCACCGCTCCGACAAATACTTGGGCTTGGTCAAGGAGGCGTGCGTCTTTAAATGCAAACTCCGAAACAGAGGCGCAGCTGCAACCCGAGGCCAAGAACAACAATGTGATGGTGGCGGCCTTTAACGTCGAAGTGTGACTGCGGCTTTTGCACGGACCTCATGGGGCTTGCTAAGAGTTTGTAAGTGGGGGTGATTGAATGTTTCCCAGGTGCCAAAACCAGCTGGATTTTAGACCGGGTTCAACCTGAGGCATGGAAGAATTGGGCAACCCGCTGGCCGGGAAGCTTGCAGAAGTGCTAGCTTGCAGATTCTTTCAGTTTCAGTGATGAGATGTTGGGAGTTTGCAGTGCATGCTTAGCGCCTGTTTTCCTGCAGCATTTCCGCCGAGCGTGCTTCTTTTCCCGCTTCTTGCGCCGCTAAGCTAGATGTTCACAAATGGCACGTCTAGCTGGAATGGAAAGCTGCTAAATGACCCATGTATACAAGTATGCACAACATGGATACCTTTGCACGCAGGACGCTTCGGGTCTAAGTCCATGTGAATGTCTTCCTTGTGTTATAAATTTGTTTAGCGAGGCTGAAACGCTTGAAGCACAATTGTCTCTAAAATCTTTTTCTCACTTAAGCTCTTCAAGTGTTTTAAAGCCCGAAGCAGCGAACATTTGAGCTTCAAGGGCTTCCCCGCCCCGAATTAAAACACGTGATTGAAGCACCTAAAATTCGAGGCGCTTGTCACAGAAATGTCTCCCTGGACATGTATTTGTGTTTCAAGTACTTCGGGCGTTCCACATGAAATCTAAACAGAAATGTTCGGTTTCAAGCGTTTCAAAAGGAACCGAAACACTTGAAACAAAAATGCACCCGTGGACACGTCTGTTTCAAGTGCTTCAATTGTGGCCAGGATCCCGCCCCGAAGTAAAACGCTTGAAGGAGTTACTCTTCGGTCGTGGTTTCTGGGGATTTTGAGGAGCCTTCGAGATGGGGGGGGGGGGGGGTTGTTTCTGTAGGGATTTTCAGGGAGTGCCGGGGTTTGAGACTTTGGGGTTGGTGGGGAAAAGGTGGAAAGGGGGTTGCAGCACAAAGGGGACTTTGGGAGCTTATCTGTTTTGGGAGCTTGGAAACCCTTCCTCGTCAAAAATCCGTAGGCTGAGTGGATGGATTGTCAACTGCGCTTTACATAAAACTCTCAAGCAGCAGAACGTGAACGAGTCCGGAATTCTCTGTAAGTCGCATGTTGATAAAACATCTAGATATCTAGTTGCAAGCGATGTCGAAAACGAGTTTCTCTGGATTTGGCTTGCTTTTTCCCTACGAGCTTGTGCATCAATGTACTGAACGACGTACAAGATTTGCAGCAACAGCGTCGACACACAGAATAGTGTGGGCAGATACCTTCATTACACCTGAGGGGTGGCTTTTTGTGTGAAACTTATGCAGAGAAATGTGTTCTCGCCTCTATCAGCAAATAACCTTCTCTTAGTTAGCCTTGTTTTGTCGTTTACGAAAGTTCTGTAAGAAGCTCTAGCAATGGTCGCTTTACACACATGGCTGCTAAAACTGAGTTCCGAGAAAAGGCATCGTAGAGCGCACCCAATCTCATCGACTTTGTGCAGTCAGTATTCATATACACACACACACACATATATATATATATACATATATATGCATTAGAGGTCCTGCAAGTCAAAGTTGACTCTTGGGTTGTGTCAGGGCTTAGCAGCTTTGCATTTGCAACGATGCGCTGTTTTCCTGTTGCAAATTATTATGATCTGACGGCGGCTGTGCATTGAAGAAGTCTGGCATCTTTGCCGCAAAGCAACTTGGATGCAGCAGGTGCGTCCCAGGTTGTTTACTCCACAAGCTGGCCTCAAGCACAGCGCAGAATGTCTTGCAGCCAAGGCATCTCCCCCAGGCAAAGGGTACAGTGTCCAGATGCGTTCAGCATCTCCAGGCTGACAGACCGCACGTGTTGAACTGTTGAACCTTCGATTTTTCCGTTTCGAAGACAGACCTGCAGTGCTCAGACTCGTGAGTTACCGTGAGTTGCGACTACGGAGGAAAAGTTCGTTGTCATGCAGTGTTGTCGATGATCGAAAATGGACACCTCTCTCAGCCACACATTGTGAAGCGATCTGTCCCAGGGTTTCACCGGAGCACCAGGCTGCTTGACACTTGTCATATCTTGTCATGATGCTCGCACATGGCTCGCAGGTGTGAGTTGGGCTCAAGACGGGGACTGCCGAAGGAAATCAACAGATCCAGCTTGGGGCTGTCTTCTGACCCCATATGACCCAACATGACCCCCTAAGCCCCTATGACCATCATGTGCAGTCTCCCCGGATGTGTTGCACAGTTTGATGAGATGGCCGAGTATATGTAGCTATGGCCGAGTATATGTAGCTACATGTGCAAACTACATAGCAGCCCACGTCATGGCTCCCAAACGTGGCAGGGGAGGACCAGCGGGTGACCAAAGTTTCCAGCAGACAGCCAAGATGAGCAGATGCAGCTAGCCAGTCCTTGGCACAGGAGGTGCTGGTCAGCACACCTTGAGTTTCTGGATGCGGTCCAAAAACATTGAAGGCTTCCGAGTTCTGAATCTGCAGCATCTTTGCATGTCTGCTTGGCGTTGAGGTGGAGTGCGTGATCGCTCACGGTCCCCAGTGCAGACTGACGGTTCCGCACTGCCAGAGGACAGGGACACTGCAGGAATGTTCAATCAACTCACGACTCGATTGGCAGACCATCCAAGGACGGGCAGAATGATGTCAGTGACGGTGGATTCTGCAGTGCCAACCTGGCCACGGCCCGGCTTCCAGAACGCTTCGGAAGGTTTCAAGCTGTTTCACAATGGCTTCTTGAAGATTCAACGAAGACCGTTGAGATGTCTGTAAGATCTAGGAAGATCCTTAGCTCTTGAGGCGAAACCATCGTTGCGACAACGGCTTGCTGCCCGAGGGGCGGCGATGTCTGCGTCACCCCAGGTGTGGACAAGCTGTCGTGTAGCATGTGTAGCAGACGCAGTGTCTTCACGCCGCAGGTTCGCGAGCACTTGCGGGGTAGTGTGCCAAAGTCCTGCGTTCAGCAGAAGCTGCTCTTTCCGAACTCTCCGCCTAGTGGTGCCAAAGCCTTGGCCACGCCGTGCCGAAGCCCTTGTCGCTCAGACTTGCGCATCTCTGCCTAATAGAATGCGGGCCATGGGATACCATGCGTTCGCAGCTGTGACCCTATGTGATGGCGCAACAGGGACTGGGGCCTGAACCGGCATGCTCACCGAGGCAAAGATCCTGACACGTTGGAATCCCAAATTCGGCAGGTGCCCGGGAAGCTGAAGCTGGTTTAGGCATGGTGCAAGTATGCCATGCCGTGCGTCACACCGAGGAGGAAGATCCAAAGCAGTGTGCGGTACATGCCAGCATCAAGGAGAGGCGCGTGACAGGGTCAGATTGTTGTGAGGTGAGTTTCTTGCCCCAAATCCAAACCAGCCTTTTTGCAGCAAGGCTGCCAGATGCGGAGTATCGTGACGAACGTGAGGACAATGCGCTGGCAATGGCTCGTTGCAGCGGTGTCAGTGTCCCTGAGTCTGCCAACAAAAACAACCACTTTTTCTCCTGAATTTCCAAAGCACGAGCACGGAGCCTCGTGAAGCTCCGCAGGATCTGCAGGCTCTGTTTCTGCTTGTGTTTCTGTTTGCGAGTTCGTGTTCGGCAGGATCCTCGTAAGGCTCGTGAAGAAGAGGCCTCGGAGGAGGTTGCAAGAATCTTGCGGTTGGCGAAGAAAAGAGAAGGGAAGGAGGGAAAGGATTTCTCTGAAGGCTGCGACTTGGTCTGGGCCAAGGCGGTCTTAGGCTTGGATGACTTGGATGCGGATGCAACGGAAGTCTCTTTGGTTCAGCAGAAATTCCGATCACTCATGCGAAAGCTCCACCCCGATCGCATTGGGGCCTGCAGCGGGGCCACTGCGGCCATGGATGAGCTCCGCAAGGCCAAACAGCTGTGTGAACACAGGTTGAAATTCCAAAACCTGCGCCCACCTGGGGCACCTGTACGTCTGGCGTTTAGTATGCTCTGCGCGGCACCGGGCCGGCGGCGCATCCGAATTTCTTGGCAGCCTCCTTCAGCATCGGCATCGTCGCCAGTGCGGAAATATTTCGTGGCCGCTTTGGATCCCTCATTCGGTCAGCCACTCACAATCACTGTCCTGGAGGAATGGAATGATGAGCTCAGGAGATGTCTGTCCGTGGATGAACTGACAAGCTGCATCTTGTCAGAGGAAGACTTGGTGAAGATGCCTGCCTTTTTCCAGCAAGCGGCAGCAGTTGTCTATGTGGCGGCGGGCAATGAAGCCGGCCAGTCGAAGTGGGCAACCATCAGTGTCCCGTTGCGTGGCCCTGCTGCGATGCAGAGTGCCGGTGAAGTGCCTGCGCAGCCAGCAGGCAAGGTCGATGCCAAGGTCGATGCCAGGGTCGATGCCAGGGTCGATGCCAGGGTCGATGCCAGGGTCGATGCCAAGAGCACCCAGGGCAAAGTATCATCCCGGCAGTGCAAGGACTTTGAATCTGCTGCGCATGCACTGCTGAAGAAGCCAAACGGAGCTGCGGAGCTCTGTGCTTGGCTCCGCAAGCAGAGCAGAGGATTGCTTGCCAGCTGGTTGCAGTCCCAAGCATGGCCCACGAAAGGTTCGAAGGCAGAGCTGGTCGATCGTGTTGCTTTTGCTGTGGGCGCCATTGGAAAAGCCAACTGAGCTGAGATAGCTGAGAAGCAAAAACGAATTCCAAATTTCTTAAGGATGTACAGGCGGAATGTCATTCTTGGGTCAATCCTTGTGTCTGGTCACCTGTTAGCAGGCTGAGCATACTCGGTCGATGAGGGGCACTGATGGGCACTGGGGGCAGGTTTCAGGTTGCTGTCACATCGCTGTACAGACTTAGGTGGGGCATGATGAGAAGTCAACAGCTTTGCCTGCCCGTACCAGACACAAGACATGAAATCTAGAAGGGGTTTGACTTGTCGCGGGTGGCATCACCGGCATCAACAAAGGCCGCAAAAACTGACTGGTTGAGTTTTGCATCGTTCGCAAAAGAGAGAGATAGAGAGAGAGAGAGAGAGAGAGAGAGATAGAGATAAAAATAGAGATAGAGATAGATGGAGATAGAGCTAGAGATAGAGATAGAGATAGAGACAGAGGTAAAGAAAGAGAAAGAGAAAGGCGAAACTTCTCAGGAGAGGAGCCGGAGAGCACTGTGCACAGCGAGAATCGAAGCCTGCACAGCTATTGCTTCATGTTGCTGTTTTTGACCAGAAGAAGAAGTGTAGCTGCAGCGGCCATGACAAGACATGCAAACAGTAGCGTGTAGCAGGGTGACATTTAAGCCAAACATGTAAAAAACACGGGTAACCTGCGGACGTGTTCATCATCTTTTGTCTACCGACTCTAAACACTGCGTCAGCAGCCCTCTGCTAAATGGCAGATGAGCTCTCCGACGATAAACCTTCGCTGGAGTTGGATCGAGATGACATCCAGCGTTTGAAGGAAGTCATGCGCTGCTTGAAGGCATTTGGAGGCAAACGTATGCGACAAACATGCCAGAAGATGTTTGATGCATTCTGTCGATGCGAAGGTCCAGATCCCGACTGGATTTCATTCTCATCTACAGAGGCGCGCTGGATAAATTTCAACCCGCAGATGCGCGCACCTGGCCAGTGAACAGTTGCGCTTGATTTTTGATCGTTGCTTACATGTGATTACATATGGCTACTTACTTTTCGTCGCATTCATTTGTGCAGCCATCTGGCGGCCAAGGCTGTCTTCGGGAGAAGCAGGAGCTGCCGGTGTGATGAAACTGCGGTGAATGCATGGATCGATGAGGCCATGAGCGTGCTCTTCCACTGGATATCGAAGCAGACGCCTGATGCAATTTTGCGCCCCACATGTGCACTGCTAAGCATGCCCGAACCTTTAATCACCACGGCACCACTCCGGCGTTTGACTTTGGGGGGCCAGAGACAAACAGGGACACCATGAGCAGAGGTCGGCCGCTTTGATTGTGGGGTTCGAGGGCTTGGGGTGCATTAGGGTTTGTGGTGGTTCAAAAGGGCTTGTGATGCAAAGCTTGAAAGGCAGAACACGTTGCAATCGTTGCAATCGTGTCGTTGCACGGCGTCGAAAGCTGTCGGATCACAACGCCTGCAACTCAAGCTGGCCAAACGCGACATTCACACAAACCACGTCAAGGTCGGAGGTCACGTACTGCCCATCCAGTACCTTCTCGCTTGCTTCCTCACAATCTTCGGAGATGTTGATGCCTTCAAGAAGCACTCAACTGGCGCATGCTTGTGGAACGTCGGGATGTGCTCCTGTTGGTTTCAGACCGACGAGACCAAAATTCACCACGGCATCGTCTGCGGGAAGCGGTGCGCCAGTATGCTCTCGCGAGTGGTGCCAATGTGAGCATCGCTCGGCGGTGCGTGCTTCAGCACGGTCGGAGACTTGGCAGTGTTCCCCACAGTTCGCGAAGATCGTTGAGTTTGCAGGCAGTGGTGAGTCCACAGGTGCTTGAGCAGGGGCCTTGACCTGTTGCCGGAATCTCGCCAATGACGCCTGCGGAGGCGGAGGCTCCCTGAGATGGCGGAGGGGACGGCGCCGTCAGGCAGCAGCGCCCTGCGTGCCGAGTCCATCCATCCATCCACTCATCCATCCATCGCTGAGTTTGCACAGTATGTGTGAACCAACCAACCAACCAGCCAGACGCCGAGCAGCCGAAGACCTTGCCTCAGGGTTCTTTAGGGTGTAAGTTTTAAGGTTCAAGCTTTCACTGTGACGAATGGCATATAATTCCGGGGTTAAACCAGTAGAATATAGTAGAATAATACGGTATCGGCGAAGCTGTTCTACTTCCCCCTTCTAAAAATGAGTTACCTGGCCTCGCTATGAAGGATTTAGACAAGGGAATCTCAGCTTTAGACCTGGCCTCAAGACTTGAGATCCTGACGCCGGGCAGCCTGAGTTCTGGAGGGGCTCGGGCTCTCAAGTTTCAGTGTTTCAGCTTTGTTCAGGCTCAGATCTCGGAAGCAAACTCTTAGGAAGCTGAGACCTTCAAACTTTCAGATGAGCCGAAAACGTTAACACAATTCTGGGGCATGACAATGTGATTCCGTTCAATACTTTCGGAACATCTTACCGCCATTTCGGGGGATTCGTCTCGTCAGCATGTAGCATTGGCGGGTGTGGGCGTCTCCTTAGGTTTTAGGGGTGGATTTTCATTTTGGAATTGAGGTTGGCTGTTTGAACAGCTTTTGCGCAAAGGGCCTTCGCCAAATTTGTGAGGATCATCGCAACTGATGCCCGGGCGGCGCTCTTCCGCTCTCTGGGCCGTGGCTGGATTTGGATCCAGCTCTCGTCTTCAGGGGGCAGGCGCCTCCGCAGACTTAACTTCAAAGTGTATCAAAGTGCATAAGGGCTGAGATCTGTTGTCATTTCCGGATGCTTTAGGGATGTTTTGGATTTCGGGTTTGGGCCGTCATGCCGTGTGTTAGAATGTGAGACGCGGGGAGCCCTTGAGTAGCTACGGGTACGGGGAGCAGCGATGGTTGTGAGCAGCAGCTCTGCCACTGCGCCAGGGAAGACAAGAGCAAACTGCCAGAGGAGCAGAGAACTCGCTTCAAGTGGTGGTTCGAGAATCTTAGCCGCTGCTTGGCAGGTTTGTTTGTCTGCAAGCGGGGGCTCACACCATGGCGACAATATGTGCATCACATACCCCCGAGGTGTGTTGCGGAATAGGCAGCATGACATCGACAAATTGAAGTTGAAGGGTGAGATGCTCAAGAAGTACACCACGGGTTATATGCCTCTGTCAGAACTAGTCTTTCTGATCTATGGCATTGCGCCCGCGATGCCGATCATCGGTATCCAGAAGTGGTCTCCGCACTACAAGGATTCTTGGCAGGAAGAAGCCGTGCTTTAGAGGGGTCTGCCTGGGGCTTGGGCCCATATGGGAGTCTGGACTATGTTCGCAGACTTGGACGTGCGCGCCACAAGCATCGCATCTGCCACCATCGCACACAACAGAGTGGGCGATAGCACTTTCCCCCAGGAGTCTGTGGGGCGGAGGGTGGGTTCTTGTTTGGGCAGCTGGAACGGGCAGGGGACGCCGTCACGCAGCATCTGGTGGGTGAGGGCCGCGGGATGCTGGGGCCGGGACGTCTGTGCGCTGCGACAGGAAATTCACGCTGCGTGCTTCAGGACGCCCTGCAGCCTGGTAACAGAGGGTTTCAAACAGAAGCGTCTTTCTCTCTCCCTTCCTTCTGTCACTTCTTGTTCCTGCCCTTTCCTTTCCTGCTTCCCTTCCTGTTTCCCGTATCCAGTTTAAATCCTCACTCATTCCTGGTTCCTTTCCACCAGGAAGAAAGTCAAGGAAACGCGAGCGGAAGTGAGGTGGAAGAGGAAGGACATAAGGTGACTGAAGAGGAGAACTCCTCCTCCATTCCTCGTGGCTTCCCCTCCTCTCCTCCCTTGTCCTCTGTACACTCCTTTTGTCACTGCTCGTCAATGGCACGGAGGAAAGGCAAAGGAATGAACAGAGAAGGGGACACAAGGCCCCTCCGGCCGCTGTCTTTCCCTTCATTCCTTTTCCTCTTCCTTGTGCATCCTCCCCTGGGGAAAGCGAGGAGGGATGGGGATGAGAAAGGGAGAGGGAACAAAGAAAGCAGAAGAGAAAGGAACCATCGAGAGGGAGAGGGAGAACTGTCAAATCGAAGATAACAAGCCGCAACGAGAAGCGGAGAAGGGAATTTGCAGAAAGAGGGAGGGGGAGGGAGAGAGGGGGGGCCGGATAGAGAGAGAGCGAGCGAACGAGAGGGAGAAAATCCATGAACCCGAGGAAGGAAGAGATGCTGCGTTTGCTTCTTTTTCGTATGACGAGGAAAAGGAAAGGAGAAGAGGAAGAAGACCAGAAGAGAAAGCAGACGAAGATGGCGAAAGAGACGAGAGAAGAAGGAATTCACTGTGATCAAGTCAGCTCTTAACCTGACAGACATCACACCCCCTTATTGAAAGAAGCTGGCGGTGTGGTGCAAGATGTATAGCATGTCACGGGCCAGATGCCCAAGTTTCTATGTTTCAGGACAATGTGTGTGGGGTGAGGCAGCTGCGTCTTTCTGTGTAGCATGCAGTTATCCCCAACTGCAACTTTGTATACCAGGGACGCGGCGGGAGTGCATGGGATTGTGTTCCCCTAGTTTTCGTTTCTCGGCCTGACCTTGTTTTGGTCCGTTTTGCAGAGCCTGGAGCGTGCTGCCTTTCGAGGAAGTTGACAGATGGGCTCGGGATGACCTCGTGAGGAAAGCAGTCGAGAAACCGATCGCATCAGAGGCCGAAAGGCAGGAGTACGCCGCTCGATGGCAGCACGTCCTTTGTCGCCTCTGATTCGCACGTGTGGTCAGACTTGGCGACTGCATGAGAAGTTGCCGAGGCAGCGCATGTGGAGCAGCAGAAGACCCGCAAGCAGCGACAGAGCTATGAATGCAGAAAGTCAACACAGCATGAGGCAGAGCCCACTGAAACGTTTGCAGAAGGGTTTTGGTTTGTTGCATTAACGCGCAGCCCAGGAGAGAGAAGCAGAAGATGAAGAAACAACAGCTTCAGCAACACGAAGACTTGCTAGAAGATGCGAGCCCAAAGCTTCCAGGGCCAAGGCGCATGGAGCAGTCAAACACAGACTCTTATTCGCATTTGTTCGCATTTGTTCGCATTTGTTCGCATGTGTTCGCATTTGTTCTGAGCAACTTTAGAGGTGACCCTGCGCTTTTTTTGGGTTGGAACGGTGCGTTTCTCTGGACGACACTTGCGGCATCTGTAGTTTAGGAGGCGCAACTTGCTACACGTTCCTAGCCTGCCGTCTTTGTAACCTTCTTCAGCTGACAGATCAGTGAATCAGTGGCCGTGATGGCGTGGCTTTCGAGAATCAGATTCTGGCAGCACAAGGGCTTGCACAGCACGCGGCCTGCCCACGTGAAAAATTATCCCCCGCAAGAAAGTCACTAAATGAAGAAAGTCGCGCAATGGCAGCCCAGGAGTTTGAAAGCTTGCTGGCATCCTTGAAAAGAGAGGCCGGCCTGGCACCAGGTGACACTTCTCCGGACGATGCGTCACCAGACGCTGACTTGTCCCCTGGCGCGGACGCCGATGAGGATGTCGTAGCTCAGATCGCTAAGGAAGTGAAGGCCAAGAAGGCTGCAGTGGCCCGGAAGCCCGAGGTAGACAAGGCCGAGAAGGCCGAGAAGGCCGAGAAGGCCGAGAAGGCCAAGGACATGGACGACAACGACGAATTTCTGGACTGTTTCAGTGACGAGGGCCCAAATCATGCACGTGATGTTGTGGCTCCTTCTTGATATGTGTGACAGAAAAGTGCGCGACTTTGCCTGTGCTGGTGAATGTCATGCGGCCTTTAGACTGGCATCATCTGGCATCAATGACCATCTGAGGCATTCAGCATTCTTACTTGCTTTCATGTGAATCAGAAGCTGTTTGGGACAAGGAGCATGGGAGGGAAGTAGAGGATCTGCTATCTACGGTGGCGCACGGTGGCGGCGGGGTCCGCGGTCAAACTGGACGCTGGACACTCAGATGATCCAGCACTGTATGTTGATTCAAATGAAAAGTGCCTTGGGTGGATTTTGGTTGTCGCCATCGATCAGTGCGGTCTTTGCTTCATCTAAGGCCCCTTCGCCTACTCAATTCCACATCACTCCCTCCGTCACTGACTCAGTCACAGTCTTGCCCGCGAATTGAAGTGCATGCCGACTGGCGGCTGGCAAACGTAAGACTGGCAAATGAAGCACTGGCAAGTGGCCGCAAGTGGCCGCAAGTGCAAGCCCTGCACATTCTCAGGACGACTTGACAAAACACCCGTGCAAAGATTCCAATGCTGTGCTGTGAAGGAACCCATGGCAACGATGACATCAGTTCTCCCCTCCGTCAGCGCCTGAGCCTTATCTTGAGAATTCATTCCTCAACCGACTTCAGCTGAGGTATCCAACGCTGCTGGCCAGGAAGGCAAGAACATGTGAGCCCAAGCATGCGGCATGCCCAAGCCATCCCTTCATGGGCAGTCATGAACACAGGATTGATTTTCCTTCTGCGCTCGGATCTCACGAGAGCGCTCCGTAAGCTTACATTGGCTTAGATATGCTTAGATTAGATGCTAAATTCTGAGATTCCCGCACTCACAGCCCATGTGCACGCCTTCTCTGGACTTGTCTCGATTTTACAGAAATTGTTGCAGGTAAGCAGTATAGAGTAGAGCAGTAGAAGCAGTAGAGCTCCGTTGAGGTGCCACTGGCATGTGGAACGGTCTGAGTGCAGGTAAATCCTCGAAGGCGCAGGCTTGCCGCTTGCGATCTCCAGCCAAAATAGTTTTTTGTTGCCAGGTTGTGATGTCTTCACTGTTGCGTCTTTGAAAGCTGTGAACATTCCAGAAGCTATGACCGCAACTCACTGGTCTGCACCTGCAGCCAGCCAAGGCCTGCCACAGTTCGAGTGGTATCTGGGGCCGATGTATCGCAGGTGCCACTTGGCGCTTGCGCATCACCTCGCAGCTGTCGTAAGCAGTCGTAGGCAGTTCCTGCCAGGTATGCAGAAATCATGGCTGAACGTGAACGTGCTAACACGGCGCAGTTCGTCAAGAAGAAGGCAGCACCTCCATGCGCGGAAATTGAAAGCTGCGGAAAAGGGAAGACTGTGGCAGGTGACGCCAACAGTGCCAGACGAGCCTGCTTGAAGCTTAGGATCACGAGCAAGATGCTGGATTCCGGCAAGGTGCTCGAAGAAATCTGTGTGCCAGGCTTACATCAAGCACATCACCACACGCACACCGGTGTATGCCTTCAACGAAGCCATTCACGATCGACCTCTCACTGACATGGGCAAGGCTGGGAGTGAAGCACAGAATGACTTATCTGCGCTGGGGCATGACTCCATCGCCTCATGCCAGCCTCCAGGCCTATGTCACGATGATGCCAGCACGAAGGAAGGAACAAGCTCACCACCCGGCATGAACTCATGCGATGTTGATCGATGTTGCAAGTCCATGTTTCAGCCAACAGAAAAACAATCCCAGTAGAAGGAAGTAGTTGAGGATGCTACGTAAAAAGTACCATAAGGCCCTTCTGCGGCCTATCGTAGGGCCCCTTAGATGTAATGCTGTACAGACTTCCGGCTACAGGCTCATACCGGCCACTGAGCAGTATGCAAGCTCTGGATGGCTGAGGTCCGCAACGGAACTGACTCGAAGATGACCACCCGCTAGGAGGGCCAGGGTTTGTGGGTGTACTGGAGTCTTTCTGTACCTAAGAACTGACTTGGCGCAGAATTCGGTCCTGTTATTTTCCCACGCTTGTCAGCTTCTGTGCCCTGCTAACATTCCAATTCCAAGAAGTACCCAGTCACGAAGACGCTGTCTTCAATAAGGCCCTGGCGGCCGCATCTCCGCTCACTCATAATTGCCAGGTCTTGCAGTCAACCAACAAGTGAGTAATGCCTACGCCAATGTCAAAGCAAAACGGCACGACAAATTACGGCTCAGCAATATGATCTATCTACTTCTTGTTGGTATGCGCATCTGGGTGATGATGAGAGTACCGTTTCAGTTGATTGTTTTCAACATCAAGCAGAAAAGTGTAATTGACATTAATTTGAAAGTCTGGAAAACGAAAGCACTCTTGAACACAAGCAGTTGGGCAAACCGCTTACCGCCATATTTGCACATTGATGACGCCTTTTGGTGGCTACGTTGTGCGCGTTTGTTGCGAGCAGGGGGCACCTTCTCCATGGATAGAGCAGGTGCCAATGCTCATCTACCCATTGGACGCGGATCCTGCGCACATGTGCTTGCAGCCTTCGGGCCTCTTCACTTTTGCAAACACTTCCACGAGACTCAACGAACTCGCCTCGCCTCTGCCCGCACCGTCACTTCTGAGCCACCAGTCGCCCCGACATTCGGAGCATTGACCATCTGACTGCCCGAGCTGCGAAATTGCAGGGCAGCGGTATTTGGGCTCATACCCTGCTGGGCATCAGGCTCAGCTTCAGCATTCAGGGCATTCGCAAACTTAGACTCACATGAAACATCATGAAACCATGGCGAGCGGTTCAGAAGCGGACTTGCTTATTTCCTCCACGATGCAAAGCCAGGCCGGCGGGCTTTAAGCTTCTTGGACTGTGACCGGGCCCTGCTGTCAAAAAAGTTCTTCATGCCCAAAGGTTATCACGTAGCCATTCCTTCGAGCATGGACATCACGTGGTTTCTTGCACGTCGGCATCGGGGCTTTGCAAAGGCGAGGTTTCAAGCTCCATTCGAACCCCAGACTATGCACCCTTGCCGGCCGAATCACATTGGCACATCAGCAGTTTAATTAGGGCTTGCACGGCGCGGGTTCAAAAAGCGTTTAGGGTTTAGAGACCTGAAGGTTTCAAAGAACCGTTCCGGGCTCCAGGTCAGGAGTCTGGCGTCTGGAACATGCATTGTGCAAAGCACCAAACAAGCCTTTCGTTCAAACAAAGCCTCCCAAAAGGCTTCTGACGGCTCCGAACGTAGTACGAATTCTCTGAAGCCTGTCAAGAAAACACATGTCAGAAACACAGGTTGAACAAAGTTTGTCTGTGCTGGTGAAAGTGTGCAGGAGAAGGGCGCGTGGCGTTCCACGTGGTCCTAGCCAAGATCTGATGACAGAATTGAGCTGTCTAGCCTGGCATGCGGCAAGCAGATGTCACCGGACTCAGTTTTTTATGGTTGCGTTTCTGGGCGCTAGTTGCTGCTGGTCCCACCCCGACATTTGCTGAGCAAATGTGTCGGACACGAGCAGCTGGAGCTTGGCAGCAAAACAACGTGTCATGGGCCTCGCACAGCTGCGTCTGGTTGTGCGCAACAATCCAAAGTTAGTAGTTAGTAGTAGTTGGTACCAGGTAGTAGTAAGTAGTAGTTAGTAGAAGTTAGTCGTAGTTCGTAGTAGTTCGTAGTGGTTCGTAGTGGTTCGTTGTGGTTCGTAGTGGTTCGTAGCGGTTCGTAGTGGTTCGTTGTTGTTCGTAGTGTTTCGTAGTTGTTCGTAGTAGCTAGTCAATAGTCGTGGTTTGTCGTGGTTTGTCGTAGTTAGCAGTCGCTAGTAGTACGGTTGTTAGTAGTTCGTAGTCGCTAGTAGCTCGTAGTACTTCGCAAGTTAGTAGGAGTTCGTAGTAGTTCGCAGTAGTTCGCAGTTGTTCGTAGTAGTTTGCAGAAGTTCGCCGTAGTTCGCAGTAGTTAGTAGTTAGTAGTTAGAAGTTAGTAGTTAGTAGTTCGTAGTTACACAGAAATTGCTTCGTGTGCGCCCTTTCCTCCTCCTCCTCCTCCTCCTCCTCCTCCTCCTCCTCCTCCTCCTCCTCATCGTCTGTTTTCCCCGCGCTCTGCTCTGCTTCTGTCTGGGTGCGTTGGGCGGGGTGGGAGCTTGGCGCCTGGGCGGTGCCACAGCAATTGTAGGGCTTGCTCCAGGTCTTCCCTGATGTGGTCTGGGTTCTGGTGTGCTGCTAAGCTACGATATCGTATGTGCTTCTGCACCCTGCAAAGGTCTTCTTGATAAATACTAAACAACCAAAAATATGCCCGAGTAAGCCTGATGTTGAATTAACATCGGGCTTATGTTGAGATTATTATTCTGCGGTTTTCTCAGCCGTGCTATTTGGGGTTTATGTTGATTTTACTCTTCTGCTTTGTTTTGCACAGCCGTCGGTCACCGCGAGTCTGCTGCCTCATCTATAGGCATGGTCCTGACCCACTTCTTTGTTACTTATTCTCTTGGGGTTGAGAATTGTTGAAATCCCCACGCCTAGCTTCGCTGGTGGATAGCGGGGGGGGGGGGGGGGGGGGTGTCTAGGAAAAGTTATGTATTGCCGAAAGGGGGAAGGGGGGATGATTTCAGAGCCAAAGCGAACTTTTTTCCTACCACATCTTCCATTACCTTCCCATGTCCTCAGTTCCAGTAGCCACAAATTAAGGCTTGCCAGAACTCCTGCAGCTTCTAGCTAGGGCCAGCGTTCTAGGGTTGTGCGAACTTCTGCCACCAGGTTCGGGTGTAGTACAGCGATGGGTGGCTTTGAGTACTTGTATAGCTGGCCCCCCACGGCCCCCTTTCTCCCGCTACTGGTGTGCATTTCCAGCTGTTGGTTAATCTAGCCTTCAAGCCCCCGTGTTGTCCACATAACGAGCCCCTGCCAAAAATGTCTTCATTCTTGATCTCCGGTGAATCCCATACTGCGCAAGACGAGCCTGGCTGTTGGTACATCGATCTCGGGGGTCAAAGAAAGCTTCCGAAGGCCTTCCATGAGCTAGTTTTGGTTCAGAGGGCAGAAAAATGAAAGGGCAGAAGCATGGAGATGCAGTGTGCAGCAGGCTGCGCGATGTATTTCCCAACCGTTCGTGCTGTCGGCTTAGTTCGGGTCAAGGCAGCAGAACTTTTGTTCACCGATCCAGCAATCATGCTCTTGTCATGGTTACAACGTACCCTCACCAAAATAGTGCTTCGTCTTCAGCCAATGCCAAGCCGTGCAGCTTCCCCAATCAAGCAAGTGCCGCCAAGCAAATGCCTCCCAGTTCGCATCAATTTCTTGATTCATTGGCTCAGCGAGCACTGCGTCGGTATCCCCTCGGCAGCGGATGGACGGAGCCTGACCAGCCTGATGTGTTCTGCGAGCACCCCGAAAGAACGACACCCCATAGATACATCCGTGTCACCTCTGAGGCACAGCCGCCGCCAAAACGGCCCAGGGATGGTGAGGAAGCACAAGGAGCTTTTGGCTTACCGTACAACATACCGAGCATCGGGCATGGCTCATAGTGAGTTGGGCGGGCTTCTGTCACAGCTGTGCAATGTGTAAGCATGTAATTGGAGACTCATGCTGAACGTTCCGGCCAGCTGTGTTGGCTAGCGGTAGCTGGCGGGTCCACTGTGGATGGGTTGCCTCGAACGGCATGGATGGAAAGACAGCCGCGCGTCTGAAGGAGTAAGTTGCGATGCGGGTGGGTCCCAGTCCCTGCTGATTCAAATTGCGGCATAGATGCGTCTTGCCCAGTGCTGAAGCTATTAGCGTAATTATTGAAAGCTATGAGCTGTTAGCTATTTCGGAAGCTGCTCTCTTAGCTGAAAGCTCTGTTGCTTTAGAGGCCGAGCTGGACATTTCCTTCCGTGAGCACTTCGACACCCTGATCTCCAAGCTGAGAGCTGCCGTGACCTCAGCATCCTCAGTTTCACCTCTACTCATTCTGCGCATTCCGCTAGCTTTCAGAGAGCTTCAAGAAAGTGCTCCTGTCTCCTCCGAAGGAATTGCTGCATCACTACGACAGAGATGTGGCATCGCGACCAGAACCGGAGTCTGAGAATCAGGTGGACACTGAGGCGTCTTATTCTTCAAGGTTTTCACTCATGCAGAGCTACACGTCTGTAAGATGAATTTCTTGCCCTGTGGAGGTAGTTCAGATCGTGCAGGTCATGCCGGGCATGTCGGCCTCCAAGGGCAACGGCTCAGATGGCTCCGACTCAGAGCAGATGGAGGCCGGAGCCCTTCCCAGAGAGACTGCGAAGTTATGAAGGAAAGCAATGTGACTGCACGAAGCACGGATCGCTTTGTAAATTCAGCACAAGTGGAGTTAGCCCGCTCGAGCGGGTGTGGTTGTTGGGGGCGAGGGGTGGGCATTCCGTAACGCTCCAAGGCCACGCCTTGGACACTTTTTCACGCAAACGGCAGCTTTGGCTGACAAGCGGCGCCGTTTGTAGAAATGGCGTCGTTTGCGCAGCAATGCACACGCTTTCTCGACAATGCGCACGTTTTTCCTCGACAAAGCGCACGGTCGAAACACAAAAGGGGTTGACGGCGTCGCTGGTAGAAACGGCGCGCACAGGACACCTTTGGCGCAAAGGTCATCTTTGAAGCCTTACGGTTCCCGCCAATGTGTGTGCACCTGGCCACCTAGGACGGGGGGTGGTGGTGGATCAGAATCCGCCCGGGTTTGAAAAACTTCGATGAAATTTGGATATGTCGGAAAAGACGAGGGAAGCTTCTATAGCAGCTAGGACTGTACTTGATATATTAACTCGTGCACAGATGCCCCGCTGGAATATTTGCAGTTAAAGTAAGACTGTATCGTAAAGCAAGCAGGCTGGAAGATCGGAGGCAAAGTACGACCCCACCCTGAACACTTAGAAAATATGTGACAAGCATTCTGCATACTCTTACGCAAATGCCATGTGCAATTCGAGGATCCGGCAGGGGATGGGCCCTAGTTGCAGCTCAGATCCGTGACCATGACATGCAGTTCACTCTTCATTCTTTCTTCTCTTTCTGCCTTTGCCCTCTCGCCTTCTCTGTTCATCTGGTCCGAACTCCTCTTCTGTTATTTGTCTTTCTCTCTCTGCTTCTAGATGCGCAGTTGCCAGTTGCAAAAATCTCTAGAATATATTGTGTATTCATATTATATATATATATATATACATTATACATTGAATGTTAGACGGATCTTGTAGGACCTGAGGAACACCATTCTCGGATGATCCCGTGGCCATGATCGGAAAGAAGTTCCCTTGTTGAAAGTGTGTTTTGTGTCTGTGTATGTATGTCTGTATGTATGTATGTCTGTATGTCTATCTGTATGTCTGTATGTATGTATGTATGCATGTATGTAAGGTATGTAATGCAATGTAATGCAATGTAATGCAATGTAATGCAATGTAATGGAATGGAATGTAATGTATGTAATGTATGTAATGTATGTAATGTATGTAATGTATGTAATGTATGTAATGTATGTAATGTATGTAATGTATGTAATATATGTAATGTATGTAATGTATGTAATGTATGTAATGTATGTAATGTATGTGATGCACTGCAGTGCAATGTAATGTACTGTATTGTATTTTATTGTATGCATGTATGTATGTTCTGCATCTTTTCGTGCTTGGCCGAAAGCCATGGACTTGTCAGAAAACAATCACAGAATTGCCAGGAGCCCCAAATCCAAAGTCTACACCAATCCGGCCTGGAAACCGGACCTCCGCCGCAGCCGGAATCGTGTCACAGCGCTCCAAGACCGCTCGTGGTACCAATGCACGACAGCTCCGATGAGTCGGAGGACGAGGTGCCCACCTGGATGATAGCATGTGGCAGTGTAGTGCTTGTTCTGCTTGTTCTTCTCTTGGAGGTGGGTATAGGATGTGATGCATGTAGCTCTCATTGCAGTAGTTTTCGCTGACGCGAGTGCCGCTATCAGTCTGCTGTCGGCCCTCGGTTCAGGTGTCTGAATCCAGCCTGGGTGACGGAGAGCTTAAAACACCGAAAAAGAAGACGCTACCGGTGAACCCTTGTCGCCCAGAGCTTCCGGATCTTCCACAGGTGCGACTATGCACTTCCAAAATGCTCAGAGCTTCCTGCTTGTTGCCTGCAAGGAGGACGCAATAGCTGCCCCGAAAGCTACACCAAAGATGCTTCTGGTGTCGCAGGCACGTTTCCTTGTACATCAGTTGCGCACTCTGCCAGGTAGAGCGACAATGAAATCACCAGAAGTGCTGCAATGAGCTTGCCCAACTCTGCACACAAGATAGAGCAACCAAGTGATAAGTAACTATTGCTCATTGTGCGGCTTGTTGGTCTTGGTGTGAGGTGGCTCCAAGCTCCATGGAGCATCTGCCATTGCCAAACACCTTGGAGACCCAGGCTGACAGGTTTTGCAGCCTAGGTTCAGCGATTCAAAATGTATCGAAGTCGTTGAAAGACTTGCAGAGAAGTGAAGTTTGAAGTGTGTGGATACGTGTCTGCTTTCTCGTCCACAGCCGCCTTGAAGGATAGCGCACGCATGGAGACTTTGCGCGTGCAGGCCGTCGCGTCACAGGACTGCCGGGCTTTGCAAGTCTTCTGTCGCCAATGCTGGTTGTCACTGTTTGATTGATCGTCAGGGCCACAGACCCTCAGTGAATTCTGCAATGAATTCATCGAGACGTGGCAACCCGACCGACTCCGAGTCCAGCTTCGAATCAAGCAGCGCCGCTGGGATTAAACTTCATGAAACTCATACCTTCGAGTTTCTCCAATTCCAAGTTGAGTAATGATGCAGGCATCGGAGAGCATGACGGGCGTTGTTTTGTGATCCTGCACTCAGGATGACGAGGACGGCCTGTACCCAGATGGCCACACACCGTCAAACAGCTTCTGTGCCTGCAGCAGATTCGGGGAAAGGGGTGGCGTTGTTGTTCGCTGCAAGCAAAGCGATGACAGCCGGGGAGCTGCGCAGTTTTTCTCGCCGGCAGGGGGAACCCAAGGGCTTGGTTCAACTGATTCAGCGTGCGGGTACAGGCGTACGCCAACAACAAGTCTGAAGGAACTTGCCCTGAAAAGCTTTGAACCGCTTCAGTGCGAGATCTCAAGAGCACGGGCCACCTCTCTGTCAGCTGTGGTCAAGGGCTCTTGCAGCAGAATTTGCCTTAGTCAGCCCGGTTTCCCATCGGGCCAGGAGAGCTAATTCAGCTAATGACGTTGCCACCAGATGTAGATGCCTGTTGACTACCTTGTTCAAGGTCGATTGACCAAGAAGCGAATTAGCAATGCCTCCATGGCCGATTTCTTCAAACGGGAGCCCGCTGTTTCTCGAGTGTGGCTCTTCCTGGAGGTTGCCGAGCTGGCTATTAGCTACTATTTGCCAGTTTGCTGCAGGGGGGGTTGGTGCAGTCGAGAGGTTAGCTGGTAGTTGCAGTGATGTGGCACGTTCGACATCGATGGGGCTGTTTTGATAGTGCGCAGGCTTCTGGAGTTGTATCGATATACTTGTGTCTTCGGGGTGCTCTTCTTTTGGCGCAGAACAATGTGAGATGATGTGAGCATGAGGATCCCGACTCCAGCCGAGCGGCATATTGGTTTGCCACACTGAGCAACCAGTTCATCTGCTTGAGCATCATTTTCACAATTTGGCAAGCGTCGGATCATCCACCCTTTTCCGCATTGGCGGAGGGCGTTATACAGATAGCTGTTGAGGTGCTGGGCTCAGACATTACCAGGGGGCACAGTTTTGATAGTCCGTAAAAGCAGCAGCAGCGGCAGCAGCGCCAGCAGTGCACTCTGTCTTTGTCGTGTTTTGTCGTGCTGCAGGTACTGTTGTAGTAGATACAGGCCCTGTAGGACCAACAGGCATCACTTTACAAGCTACGGTACAAGAAGGCAGGTGGTGCACAGATTCCGGGATGCCATCCTGTCTGCATGTGTCTTCTCATGTCGCTGCAGTTGTATCTGACAGCCTGTTGAACTGCATCATCTTTCATAGCCGTTCTAGCTGTTGCTAGGTGCTGCTGTTGCTGGAGTTCACCACTCGATGGATTGCGTCGTCTGGACCGAAAAGAGCACCTTGGCCGAGCTCAACATGTCTCACAAACACGGTATTTGTGGCGAAGTCGACAGTTTCTTCTCTAGGAAATAAACGCCAGAGAGTCCACCCATGCTTCCAATCTCTTCCGCGTTGACTCCTCCACTTTCAGGATGTCATGAAGAATCCGTACAACGTGATCGATATTGCGGCATTTGTTCCAACCATAGTTCGGCTCGCTGTTGGTGTTGAGACCCCTTCGGCGGCCGAGAACCCACCAGCGCACTATCTCTTGGTCTGCTTTGTTCCGGTGGTGCGGCAGCTCAAGCTTATTCGTCGCTTTCAGAAATTGCAGCTGCTGCTGCACCTTGGTCGCAGGGAGCGCGAGGAAGGCAAACTGTGACTTCTTTGTAAGGTTCGTAGGCCCGAGCCTGCCGAGCCTTCCGTGAATGATGACCCGACCAGTTGCTTCGAAGGCATGTACTGACTACTGTCATCGACGCGCTGAAGCTGCTACTGTTCATGGTTTGCTTGATTGCGGCTTGGACCTGCAAAAGCTACAAGTGCGGTGATCACTTGCGGGAACTTTTTCTTAGCTCAAGGCGTCACATCGGGAGTACGTTCGTTTGGCTTGCGTCCGGTCTCTGCTTGAGCTCCAAACGTACGAAACCGATATCGCATGCCTGTCGAGCATCCTCTTCTATGCTGGAGGTTCCAGTGGAAACCTTGTGTTCGCTCCCGTTTTCCGTTCTCAGGGAAGGCTACAAAGGAAGCCTTGGAGCCAAGTCTATGTCTACATGTATCTACATGTACTGTAACTGTACATCATGTATCACATCCAGGAATTGAAACTTACTTGCTTCTGTCGCTCAGCCACCAAGAATTCGTGTGAAGTGTTGACCGCCACATGCGCCAGCAGTGGAGCAGCACACGGCTACAACAGCCAAGGTCCTTTTCTTTGCTGCGGTGCTCTACATCGTGGAACCACAAACTGCCATAGACACGCTTCCAACTTCGATATGGCTGTGCATTGTGACTGTTACGACTGTCGGTTACGGTGCTCCGCTCAGCCTGCTTTCTTTGCACGGTTCCACATGGCTGCCCTCTGGGACCACGATACTAAAAAGGAGAGTGCCTCACCTGGTTTGTCCAAATAATTGGATGAGTGAGCGATGAGATCGCTGAGGAGACGTGGCGCCCTCAACTTGGCCCGGGCGCATTGTGGCTGGAACCCTTTGCTTCATTAGTGTCCTCTTCATGGCTATGCCACTTTCGGAGACTTGGCATTCATGGTGACACGACCTGTAGATCCTGCAGTCGGCACGCACATCCCGGATACAAGCAGCATGCGTTGAACACGGCGCATTTCATGATGCGATTCTGAGGTTCTAGGAAACGCGATGTCCCAAACATGGGCAGATCGACATCGCATCCTCCTCATGACACGCACTCGGTCTCGCCTGAAGAACCTGGGCTACTCCGCACGTTGCCGACTCAGCTTGACTGATGAAGTCAAAACGCATGTCCGTGCGGGATCGCTGTCGGCCTGCGCACCAAGATGACATGCCCAAGCTCTTCAAGAAGTTCGACACAGATAATAACGGCGAACTGGAGCTAGAGGAGTTCTGTGCTACGCGACAGCAAGAGCTTGCGAACCTCAGTGCGGTGTGTAGCTCTGTGTACTGCATGCACAGGATCATCCAGCGAGCTTCCTAACAAGTCAGCACGCAGCTTCGGATTCTTCGGATTGTGGCATTCTTTGGCTCTGAGATGCTCTGAGGACCTGGTCGCCAAAATGAAGGTTGGTGTCAAGCCGCATGAGGCAGATTCTCGTCGGGACGGCACTTGGTTTCCAAATGTTTCCAATCAGTGTCAATCGGTGTGGCGTCAGGCGTCCGAGCTCTTCATGGCATTTGACGATGATGGAAATGGAGGGATCGATGAAAGAGAATTCATGAAGGCACTTTTCCCACTGGACTATCGGCGGATGTACAGGCGAGCCTCTGGTATGACATTCGGGGCATAAGGCGCCCGGAAGATTAATGCCTTAGACCCTGACATGTTTCACCCTTGCATGTTTCCACGTGTGCAAATTTAAAAGATTACGTCGCGATGGAAATCGCAGCATGAGTTGCGAGCACTATCGAGCACTGTTCATTGGTGTCAGACTTGTTGAACTAAGCGTATCTGGAGATCCATGCAGTTGGTTCTACCACTTGCCTCAATTGCCTTCACACGGTCGCAACCTCGACAACTTTCTGCAATCACCCGAAAGAACCCGCAGTGCCGAGGCAGGCTCGCTTACATCGTAGCGGCGGTACACATTCTCTGCAATCGTTTGCTGAAGGCAACGACTTGCGGAAGCTGCTTGCTCTATGCGCTGCCTTATCTTTCAAAGTACCTTCGAGAGCATATTGCCAGAAAGCTACAGCACGCTGAGCAAGTACTTTTTTTGGTTGGCCTTCTGCCTTGGCAAAACTGCCAAGGGTAGTTTCGTCGAATCACAAGGCTGGAGGCGCCAACTAGGCAAATGACTCAAATAACCCGCTTGCCAGCAAGCTGCTCCGGCGGTGTGCTATCCCGATTATGCAGTTTAGATTTATGACGATGGGCCTGTCATACTATCGCGCCTCCCGACTTCAGCGCGGATACACGAATGCTGAAGGAAGCTCACATTCTTCCAGGCACAGCGGATTGCATCTATGCTTGCGCTGACCTGTACATAACGGTTGGTCGCCCGAGACAGCTCAGGCCGAACGTGTTATTGAAGGCTTTCAGTGCCCGTTGTTGCTGCACGTGAACTACTTCAGTGACCGAATATCTGAACCTAGTGCACGCTGCTGTCTATCACAAGTGCCATGTTGTCCAGTCCTTCGTACACGCTGCGGGCTTTGTGGTTTAAGTGCCTGTGCCTCTGTGGCCCCCCATGGGACCCCATGGCTCCCTCAAACTCGCCCAATCCTCAGAGTTTCGTCCGCTCATGGTCTTGACATGACTTGACACCGTGAGCCTCTGCAAAAGATCCGCGAACGGGCTTGCGAAAGGAAACTAAGTTTTCTTAAAGTTTTGATTCTGACGAAAGTCTAACTTGCCGGCTCAAGAAATCCGATTCTTGGAGGTAAATGTAGCCCAAGACTGGCGAAGAAAGTCCTGCGCAAAGTCTAAGGTAAAGTCTAACGTATCGTGGCCAAGCCCTTCTTTGGATTGGAACCCCATTTTCATGCCAAAGCCGTTCAGCACGATGAGGTTGACATGAATGACTCGTTCGGCGTTCACTTCGATCAGTTAATCGCTCGGGTCAGATCTGCTTCTCGCCTTGATTTACTGTGTGTGGTGTTTGTAGCAGCGACTGCCGTCGCTGCATGGTCCTGGTGTCCTAGCGACGTTTAGAAGTTTGACGATTCTAGAACTGTCCCAGCAGACGAGCTCGCTACATGTCGTGGCCCTTTTTGAGGAGCTCCTCCAGCACTACGAAAGGGATATCCAGGTCAAGGCTGACAGCCAGAGTTTCATCCCTGTCAGGGACGAGGCGGCCCTGAGCATCAGTCAGGGATGTTTGCCACGTCCGAATAAATTCAACGACGCTCTGGAAGTACTTTGGAACCGTTCATCTTTCTCCGACACTGAAGAAGAAGGCATAAGGGAATGACCATTGGGACTACTGTTGCAGTGTTTGCTGATGTGTGCCGGCTGCGCAGTGCAGCCTTCAAAGTAGGGTTGCCATTGGGCACTACTTGTGGCATCGTCGGGTGCTAACGTGATGGTCCTGTTTGGAAGATAATGGGACCACCATTCGCAGAATTTACCAGATCAGGATGTCGAATTAGATGCATGGTTGCAGGGGGTCTGCCTAATTTGGTAAGAACTTGCAGCACCCAACTCTTGCTCTGTAGGTGTTGCCACCCATCAGTGCGAAGCCACAATTCCTGCGTTTGTCTCCGAAGAAGCAATGGAATTCCTCCGAGTGGGGGCCTGCTTCTTGAAATGCAAAACTTCAATGAGCAGTTGCAGTCCGAACAGGGCGTGAGGTTGGAGCTGCAACCATGCAACTGGAGCAGCCTCTTTAACTAAGGTGTCTTCCCCTCTCAGCAACTTCAGGCAAAGCCCTGTGTTCTCGAAAGGGGATTCTTCATCCAGTGATGAGGATGCGTCTTGGCTGCGACGCTGCTGTGCTTTCAAGCTCTGCTTCCAGCCTAGACTAACCAGCTCGATGTCGCGATAAGAGACAAAAACCTTCAGGAACCACATGGGAAAATCGGAGTCGTTCATCACCGACTGACTTCCAAGTCAGCCGTGTCCGATGGCTCCCAGGTCTCTCACAGCTCCGCCATGGTGTTGTCCCTCTTGCACTTTGCATTTTTTGTCGTGCTTTGCCGGTAGGCGACGCAGCCGTCGGCAGATTCCCCGAACATGGAGCTCAAGACACCAAAAGCTCGGTTTCCCCAGCTGGAAGCACAGCTGCCGCGGCCGCCTTCGGAAGCAACTGCGTTGGCAACTTCAGTAAGAGCGTTCTGAGCTGGTGTTGGTCGCTGGGAGTGCTTATCCTAAGCTTCAATCGAGTTGACGGCGGTATGTTTTGTCCCTCTTCAGTCTTTAGTCTTTAGAATCTTTAGAACATGTTAGAACTTTAACAGTGGCTTGGTTCCACTCAGGGAGAAGCAGATGCGCCGCCTGTGTCTCCGCAGCTGCTCTTGACTACGAGCGTGGGCACCCCAGACACGGCAGATGTTGCCTTGCGGGTCCCGCGTTGTTGTTCCTAGGTGTGGTGTGGCGGGGGCCTTCTATTTCCTAAGTGTTTCGGCCTGCTTGGTCCCGGCGGTTCCTTGCTCCCCTTGTCCTGCCGTTAAATGCCACGTTTTCTATTGAGCTCGGTTGTCCTTGTCCTTGTCCAACAGTGTCACATAAGAACCCCTTCAAAGACAGTGAACAGCCCTTCTGTCTTGCGTTCGCTTCCTCATTGACTTTCCTGCTCACTTGGGACGGGCCTACAGGCTAGTGATGCGATTATACGGACACGCATGCATATAAGTTGAAGCCCGTATTACTTCATATTCATACTAGCCCGTAGCAGGAAGTGGTGGCTGTGTTATGCCCTTCTGCAGGCCCTGGCATTGTCAGCACTTCAGGCAGGAGTGTGGCCCTATGGGCATCCGAGGCCGAGCATCCTGGACCTTCTGATGCCCCATCCCCGTCTGCTTCCGATTCCCGTCGCGTTCCGGGCACACCGCCTGAAGCCGACCGCCGTTCTGTTTTCGACAACGTGTTGCCCGCGAGTCTGGCTCAGTCAGCTGCCTCTGTCCAGTGCCTGACTGTGGGCAAGGGGACGTTTCCAAGGGCGACCGGGTGGACTTCACACATCACACTGCCATGCGGCCGCACCTCAACGACCACAGTGCCGGCACGCTCGTTGCCGGACGCCTCTGTGCGGCGTTAAGTCGCACGAAGGGGCCGACCCTTCCCAGCCGTCCCTAGACGAGATCGTCTCAACCTTCATCCCCAGCTTGCGCCCCGCCCGAGCCACTAAGCGACGCTGCCAGCGTTTGTTTGACGGCAGGAGGGGCGAACTATGGGATGAGCTCGACGGCACCCGCCGCTTTGCCTGCCGACGGCAAGTGCGGTGACCTTTGCCCAGCTCCCGCAAGTGCCCCTGGCGCCCGGCAGCCGTCAAGCGCGCTTCGGCCCCAGTCCCGAGGGGCTCGCGTCCCGACCACCTGCGCTCGTCCAGGTTGCGCAGACGCGAATGGAGCAGGATCTCTCTGCCCATGTCGACAAGGCTCCTTCGTCCTCGCTGCCGGATGCCGCCCTGTGTGCACCTCCACCTCCTGCGGCAGTTTGGTGCGGGGTCTTGGCTCCATAACCACGAGGCACTCGGGCTGCATGTCGAGCCCCACCTTTTCCAGGTCCTCCTCCGGCTTCGTTTGCGTCTGCCGTTGCTTCCTGCCGTTGCTTCCTCCGACGGTTTTGCCATGTCTGCGACGGCGCCGCGGCCACGACCGCGACCGCGACCGCGACCGCGACCGCGACCGCGACCGCGACCGCGACCGCGACCGCGACCGCGACCGCGACCGCGACCGCGACGACGACGACGACGACGACGACGACAAACAAATTTGACTTTGTCTTTTACTGGGCCATGTCAGGGCAGAATCAGTTTCAATTGTTTTTTGGGGGGAAATGGGGGGTGGACACTGAAGAGGGTGCAACTTGATTCGGGGCGCCCAGGGCCTACTCCAAGGTGCTCTGACTCAAAGTTGTTCGCGTTTGTCAAGAATTTGGTTTGAAGTTTGCATTCCAACAGGGGTGCCATCTTTCATAGGCGCTGTATGTAGTGGAATCGTTGGAACTCGTAGTTCAATTCGTTTCAAGCAAAAACACAAAACTGAAGGCATTCTTGCACGAAACGCTTGTTGCCCAAAGGGGAACTAAGGTCGGGACACCCAACCAATTTCAAGCCAATGTGAGAAGCTGGTCTTGTGCCCATTTGATACTGTCAGTTCAGAATATAGAAAGGGCGAAAAACACTGTTTCTATACTGTGAGATCGGAGAAACAATGTACTTTACCCTGAGTACAGCGCTAGCACATCAACGGGAAACCGCTTGCCTCCATGCTGGGCTTCGACAGTTCATGTGCAATGCCCAGATATCCAGGGTCTTCGCCGCATGTTTTTGTTTGCACGGTTGGGAAGTCTGGGGAAGCTTTAGCAAATCTTGCTTTGCAGGGTGGTCTTTGCCCGATGCTGCCAAATAATCCTGAGGCCTGGTGCAAAGCTGTGCGAAGATTTGCGCAAATGTTGTGAACACGAATACTTGGCATACACGACAAGCAACGACCCTAACGTCATGCACAGGAGGCTGACGGCTGCCTGGGCGAGACAGGTGTTGACCTTCAGGCACAATCTTCAGTAATCTTCAGTAGCTCACGAACGACAGGAAGACTTGAACGATGCGCAGGATCAGAAGGGCAACCAAATCGCCGACAAGAGCTCTGCGAAGAGCTCAGCGTCATCAAGCAGCAGCAGCTCAAGCTCGAGCTCTGCCAGCTTCACCAGCACGACCGACAACAACGATGCTTGGCCAATAATTTGCAACTTGTAGATTATGACACTAACGTCTGAATTCGTGGCTTTCTGTGCGGTTTGGCTTTGCACGGTTCGAGTTGCACTGCTCAACTTACAAGCTCAGGCTTCTGGGAATGAAGGTCAAGGAAGCCACCTGTCTGCAAAAGCTTCTAAGGTGCAAGGTGAGGCAAGGTGCCAGGAGGGCTGTCAAAGGAGCAAGTGTGGCGTTAGTGTGGCGTTACTCCAAGGCAGGAAAGTGATGAAGCGTGCGAGCGAAAGCTCCATTCCATCTTTCTTTGACAAAGAAGCCGCCTCCAGTCTGCTGTGGCAGTTTTTGGAGGAGCTTGGCCCACGGCTTCTTTATTTTTATGAGGGTTCCTGCTTTTCTTTCTGCCCAGATCTGGGCTCGGTTATGGCACCAGTGTCTGCTTTTGACAGGTCGGGGCCAGGGCCCAGGGTAGTTCCTTTCGTCGCAGGACCCTGATTCGAGTCCAGCGGCCTTCTATTTTGCCACAGCTTGGAACTACTTCATCACACTCTCCATTGTGGTGACCATTCTTCAGGGTAGCCAAAGCCCAATCATTCCTGCCAGTACGGAAGGCTTTCTCCAGGTCTCCGTGGAGGCTCCGCTACCCGGAAGAGGGTTTAGGGTTTAGGGGTTTAGGGGTTTAGGGGTTTGGGGGTTTGGGGGTTTGGGGGTTTGGGGGTTTGGGGGTTTGGGGGTTTGGGGGTTTAGGGTTTAGGGCCTGTTGATGCAACCCTTGCCAAAGGCAAGAAGGCCCTGCTTTCAGGTGTTGCCGGCAGCCTCCTCAGTCCGTGCCTAAAACGAGTTTAGGGTTTAGGGTTTGGTCTATATGGAGGAAGAGGGGGCCGATTCATGGGAAGTGTTGAGACCCATCGCAACATGAAGTCTTGACAGAAAAACCTGCAGCGCTGAGTGCTGGCAGCTCTCTTTCGTCGCAATGTCCTCAATGTTACTGCAAAGGAAGGCCGTGTTTTGACTGCATAAGAAAACGAAGCTCAAGCCTTCGAAACTGCTCAGGCCGAGCGCGCTATAGAGCCGAAGCCGTGCCTAGATTCTGAGATTGACTCAACCACAGAGTCAGAGATCTTTCCGCTGAGATAGCCTTTTGTGGCCTCACTTTTTTTGAATCTGAAGAATCCCGGTCTGGCTTAGAGTCTGAAGTACAAAGCAAGTCTAGAGTCTACATGCATAAAGTGTTGTGCGTGTGGTGTTCACAGCCACACTTTCACTACTGCCACCTTAGTACTAGTATAGTCAGAGTGTCACCGGAGAATGTAGTGGTGACGTTTCAGCAGAGGCGAAGCTCTCATTTTCAAATTTCAAGTTTCAAGCATAACGCTTTTCGCAGGTGGCCCTTGCGCTTGAGTTCCTCGCGCATATTTATGCCAGCACCAGCTGCTATGCTTGGACCCCGGCACGGCTTAGGTGGGTTCAGGCTTGGAGTTTATAAGGTTGACATGCTTGCTTTCTATCATGCATTCGCAGTTCTTTTTCAACGGGGTTTGGGAGGAGCGTTCTCTTTTTGTAAGGCGTTCGTCAAGAGTCCGTATAACATCATTGACTTCTGCGCGCTGCTGCCATTGGTGATACGAATCATCGCCGGTGTTGAAACGCCCACGCTGGCAGAGAACGCAGTGGTGCACTACACGCTCGTATGCTTCGTTCCGCTTATCCGCCTGCTGAAGTTGGTCCGGCGATTTAAGAAACTACAGCTGCTTCTGCCTCATGGCCAAGCCAGCAGAAACTGCTTGCCTTTTTGCTGTTGTGGCGGTGCTGCTTGCCGTTTTCCACCAACATCCCCACCGGCTAAGGCATGTTCTGTCTTCGGTAATTGATGCTTTGAAGCTCCTGCTTTTCCTCATCAGTATCATTGCAGCTTGGATGATCTGTGAACGTGTGAGGGCCCGGTGCGGGTGCGGTGGCTTGCATTCCAAAGCTGTGCTGTACTGGAGGTGCTAATCTTTGCCACAGCCCTGTACATCACGGACCAGCCGGATAACATTGATTCACTGCCGTTGGCCATCTGGATGTGCACAGTCACCGTGACCACTGTGGGCTATGGCCCCATCCTTGGCTGGGCCATGAGACGGCGCCCATCAGACAGCTCTCATTCAGGTTCATGTTCATAGTGCCTGTGGAACAACTGAGGTGACGTGACTCCATCGACGTGGCCAGCAAGAGGTGTTGCGGGCATTCTTTGCTTCATCAGCGTGTTGTTCATGGCGATGCCGATTTCCGTGCTCAGCTCAAATTTTTTGTTGCAGCATGATTCCTTGTTCCAACTCGAGCGCCAATGGACACCAAAGCGTGCCCAACATGAAAGGTTGCACGAACCCCAGTTTTGATTGGCTGAGGTGGTGGGAAACGCAATGTCACAGACATGGGCAGATCGGAACAGAATACTTCTTGTGACAAGAGCTCGACAGCGCTTAAAGAATTGGGGCGTCTCTGCCAGTTTCTTGGCCAAGTTGGTAGCTCAATGTAGCTCGTCAAACCTTGGCTTGAGGACTAGCCGCGTCGAGTGATCCCTCTCTGTAATGTTAACTCTTGGAATCTGCTTTCATATGTTTTATATGGCTCCTGGCAGTTTCGATTGACTCGGGCGCGCGGCATGGCTCGAGCCGATTTGTGCAGACCCACCGCCCGGATGCCAGCGGCACAGTGAAGCAAACCACACCTGTTGTCGCTTTGGGGCAAAAGCTCCAAATCCACACCGGTTCAGGCACAATTGTAATTTCCTCGTTAATGTATTTGGACTGTTTTTTTTCTTATGCTGTACGCTTTTTTTCTTATTCTCTCTGTGCCCCAGAAGCTGTTCCAAGCTCTTATGCTCCACCTCTTTTCGAATCGTTCAGTTATGCTACCGTTTCTGTCGTTATTCTTGACGTTTTTTTATTCTGCTGACCTGACTTTTTCTTATGCTCCCCAGTCCTCCCGTTATTCTCCTCCCTCCCTTCTCCCCCCCGCTTCCCCCCCTCCACGTCCCCTCCTCCCCTCCTTCTCGCTCCTCTCCTCCTCCTTCCTCCTCCCCCACCACCTTTCCCATTCTTATCCAACAGTCCCACCAATACCCACTCACCGACCATTGCTCGCTATCCTACTGTCCACCCGCCATGCAACATCATCATGTCCCACATTTCCCACCGATATTGCCGCCAGTCTTCGCCATCCCTACCATCACATTTCTCGACGTTCCTACATTTCCACAACTCCCACCAATACCCGTTACCCAGCATTCCTTTCTTTCCTGCCACTATCAGTCACTATCAGCTACTCTCTACCCCCACAAGTGCCCAGTACCCACCAACCCAACCAGTACACCCCACTGTTACCCATTGCCCACCAGTGCAGACCACTCACCCGCCATTTAGCCTAAACCCTATAAACCCTGTTTAAACTCAAATCCCCCGAGACTGCCCAGGCTCCGCCGTTATTCACTGCCAGTCCCAACCTTACCCATCACTACTCACCATCCTACCCACCATGACCCACCATGCAACACCCTACCCATCCACCATGCAACACCATACGCATCGCACCATGACCAATAATTCCCACCATTTCCCACCAAGATTCTGCCAGTCGGACCGTTTCCCACCATTCGCCACCCCCACCATCACACACCACTACCCAGGATTCTCACCCTTCCCACCATTAATTATACTCGAAATGCCAACCATTTCCACAACTCCCATAAGCATCCGCCCATTCACAGCCAAGTCAACCAAGCCATGTTTTCCATTAATATATCTCCCTGCAGGCCCAACGAATTGGGGGAGGGGGGGTGGTGCTGCCCTCAACCCGCAACCTTCCGGGAACGTTTGCATCAAGCATCAGCCCAGCCACAGCCGACCCAACCAAGCCATGCTTTGAGCAAGACTTTGGAACCCAACAAAGCGCTCGGTAAGGCGTGGTGTCCGCAATGCAAAAACACCAAGCCAAAACACCTTTGTCATGCCGGCGTGCTTGCATCAGCCATCAATCCCAGCCAACCCTACCAAGCCGCGCTTTTGTATTAACATGTCCCTCTGGCTGCTTGAACCCAACCGCCCTTGATGAGGTGCAAAGGGGGCGAGGAGTGCATGCGCCCGCCCAAACTCCCCACTCTATGACAAAGCTGAGGCCCAAACCAGGCCCAAGCCAAACCAAATTTTACAAGCCGGGCTCGATTGCACAATCATCAGGCTTTTGCTTTGGGGACGTCCTCAAAGACCACCCCACCCTGAAACCACACACACACAACTCAAAGACAAGCCTACCCTGTACCTGAAACCCTACGGTATGGGTTCAGGTATAGGTCCTTATGCCCGGAGCTCCTAAAGCCCTACAGGTTGTTATGCAGGGGCCCAAGGTAGGCCCCCCACACAGAATTCCAAGCATAACAGGAGAAAGTGGGCAGCATAAAAAGAAGCACCTTCAGCTTAAGAAAAAACACCCTCAGCATAACAGGGGCCGGCAGGGCATCGGTGCAGCATAAAATAGACATCGCGAAGGCAAGCAGCATAAGAAAAAGCGGGGTCAGCATAAGGAAAAAAATTCCTTTGGTTTTAGGAGTTGTTCACGCATAGTCAGGAAGAATGACTTCAGTGAAGAACGACTCCACAAAAGCATTTTGTAGAAATGTGACTTGCTCTGGGAGCATATTTGACGTCCTCCTGCTCCGAGTCCGAGTATCATTCCGAGGCCGTCAAGGCCAGGATGCCAGGGCCCTCGTTCCTGGTGATTGCACCGACCGAACTGCCTGAGAGGCCTCAGGAGGCCGAGGGTGGAGTTGCGGAACCCAGAGCCCGTGGCGATCGGTCGCCTGTACTCTGGGATCCAGTTGAAGCCCAGCTGCCCTGCTCGAAGAAGCACCAACAAATCGCCTCGGCCGCAAACTGCGTACTGCGTGGTCGCGGCCAACAAAGAAGGACCCCCCCGCACCCAGGCTCCACGGCGTCCACAGGAACGGGCCGTGGCGCAGACAGCAACCGCTGGTCCGTTTGCATCCCATGAACCACGGGCCTAGGATTGCGACAGGCCAGGCGAAGATGAAGAGGAATACAAGGAAAAGCAGGCGGTGCAGCCGAGGCAGCTCGTGTCTACGGCGTGCCAAACACCCAGCCACCGCCGCCTGGTCCAGCCGAGGAGGCCAGGTCGGCGGTTCGCCTGGTGAGCCGGACACCAAAATGGCGGTCGGACGCTAAGTCACGGCTTCGTCTGCAGGACTACGTTTATGCACTAGCCAGCTAGAAATCCCAAGGGGGCACCGGAGCCTCAAGCACCATCGATCTCGGTGTCTTTTTTCGGTACAGCGCACAAGAAATTCCCTGTGACGGTACTGGTCTGGTGTGCTGTTGGGCACGTGGAAATGGCGTGTGAACACGCTGCCTGGGAGTCCCGAGGCAGTGGCCTATCTTTTAGCATATTGTTATCGCGGGCTCTTTTTATGGAATTTGTCGTCCGGCCACCGCTTCTGATTACAGGCTCGGTTTGAAGTCTTTTGCTTTCAAATTTCCGTATCTCACCCATGAAGTCAGGTATGCCATTTACGCCACCACCAGGCCTACCCATGGCCAAGTCTAAGCAGACCGCAACAGTATGTTCGCAGAGACGATGGCAAAACGAACGTTGAAACTCAAAGAACAGCATTTGGGATCTCTGATCACGACCTTTTGGAGTTTAAAGGTGAAGCTTCATACATGGTCTTGTTCACCTGGTATACTGAGGTGATATGCCCAGGCTTTTCAAGAAGTTTGACCAAGATGGCAATGGTGAGCTTGGTATGGATGAGTTTTGTGATGCTTGTGCAGCATACATTCAAGGATACATAGCGCTGATTGTCTTGACCCAATGTGTTGCTGGGATCAGAGCTGTCACGACAGCTTTGAGTCTGGAGCCTCCGTTGGCCCGAGGACTTGATTGCAAGGATGAAAGTTGGGATGAAGCCTTCAGAGGTCGGTTGCAAGTCCAAAGTGAGTGCAGAGCTTGTGGCCATGTGTCGCCCATTGGGCGCTTTTGAGCGGGAGGCATCTGACCTCTTTGTGGCCTTCGATACGGACGGCTCTGGAGGGATCGACGAAAGAGAATTCATGAAGGCACTCTTCCCATTGGACTATCGCAGAATGTACAGACGAGCTTCTGGCATGACTTTCGGGGCTTGACTGAGTTGGCTCCGAGAATATTCCAGGGGCTGAGTTTTCCATGGGCCTGAGGCCGCCCACCGTGAAATCGGTGCAAGCCGCACGTAGAGAAAGTGTGAGTTCGAATCTGTGTGTGCCGCTGCAAACCGTACACTACTATTGATACCATCACGTGCTGAAACTCCTGATGCGCCATCTGATGAGTGCGGCAGTCGAGTGTCACTCCAAATGCGCGCCACACCCATAAAACCTGAAGCTGGTTAGACGGACATCACACGGATTTGAACTCAACAGAGGCGGCTACTGGCATCGGTTGGGAAGTTCATCTTTCCACCCTCTTGGCCCGGGGCATAGGAACGGATAACTGTCGTGCAGGGCGGCTGCAGTACTTAGTCACATGGAATCGCGGAACAGAAAGAGTAGCATTCATTCAAGGTGGGCTTAAGGGGGATTCATTTTGTCAAAATTGACTGCGTGCACAATCTGATCGCGTCGGTTCACGACTTCAATCGCCGGTCCTCTTGGGCCCCTCAGATAGTCTGTCAGTTTGTGTCGCCACCGGATTGAAGTCCAGCAAGTGTCACCAAGCTGATGTGCTATTGCTCTTGGACGGACATTGCGCACAACAAGGATGCGCAGAAGGTTTTGCTTATGGTTGGGTTTATTGTTTTTGAGACGTCCCGAGCAAGGTGGCACATCTGCATGTGGTTTTAAAGTTCTGCGGCGAAGCAGTGATCGCATGCACACCAGCTGGCCTCAAGGGAAGCGGAAGTGCGCTCAAAAGTAGCTCGCAATTAGTCAGCGAGGACCGGCATGTGAATTGGGAGGTTTTCACGCTACGTAGTTGCATGCTCTAGACAGTAGAGGGCCTGTGCGCTTGGGCATTCTGGCCTGGCTTGCCCACTGAGAGTTCAATATATAGTTCAACTGCGAAGCAAGGAGCTCAGCCGATGACCCTTCACGTGAAGAAGGCGTTGCACAATCTGCAAGAAACACCATGTTGGTGTTAGCTCAGGTTTAATAAAGCGTTTAGTTTAAGGGGGTGCTGTGTGCCAGCCACAAGGCGGTGGCAGGCGACGCCGCGGCCTCCTTCGACCTGACATTGCCCGTGTCGGCCACTGTCGGCGAACTGGCGGTCCAGCTGGTCGAGACCTGAGCTTTTGCTGCAACTCATGGCGGTAGTGGTGGCACCGTTCGCTTGCATCTTTGAAGGCAGAAAGGGAGGGCTGCGAAAGCGAGCTCATCACCATCGTCAGCCGGGGCAAGCCGCTCAAGGACCCCTTGCATAAAGGACACATTGTGAAGGAGGGAAAGCTTGGGATCCTTGAGGCATTTGAGACTCAAGATGACTCAAATGCTTCAAGAGCCAGACAAGCCGACAGGATTCTGGAGCGAAGCTCAGTGATCTAGGTGGAGGTTTGATCGTGCTGCGTTCCGTTGCAGTGGCATCAGCAAACTGGACTGGGCTCAACACGTGTGTTTGCCAGGCTTAGAGGAGAAGTTGCCTGTTGTGTACATAGTGCGCAAGCCGGCGAGCTCGACAGGACTGATTCTCAGCTTCTCAGCACTGCACACAATCGGAAACAGCCTCGTCCTGCATGTTTCGGCATCTGGAATCATCTGGAATCGACAGCTTGCAGTCGCAGCTTCAATTGGCACCCTTGTCAGGGGCGGTTGCTGCAGCCACTCCGTCGACGGGAGCAAAGACGACAACAGCAGTGCCAGCCTGAAGAGAGCGCTGCGGCCAACAGCCCCGTGCAGTCAAATGATGTCAAATGTTTGTCTGGTCCCATTGCCTTGTTAGAACTGGGCCCAGGTAGGCACCTTACGCACCCCGAGTTCAAAGCCACACCCTCTTGTACCTCTGAACCTTCAAATGCCAATCCTCCAAATTAGTCTGGTAGTCTTTTCCCGAGGCGTCTAGCACAGAAAGTGCGAAGCCGTCGAAACCAGGCCTGGGGGCAGCGGGCTTGCCCAGTCGTCCTGCGTCATCCTGCCCACCCTTGTCAGGTCGGCGAGTGATCTTGATGCTGCGCCATGGCCAATGTTGCCATGAGGGCGAACGTGATGAGCTGAAGGAGCTCACCCAGCATGGCCACAAGCAGGCTGAGGACAGCATCGGGTGTTTAGCTCTCCCCCAACAACTTGACCTCTCGCTAGAAAGCTTTAGTCCTCGAGTTGCGTTTGGGCTCTGGATAAGGGGGATCTAGGAATCTAGGTCCTCAGGGTCTTTTTGCTTTGTCTTCAATGTCTTTGTGAATTAATCCGGTTTGGTGCTTTGGCTGGATTTGTGGCCGGACTCATTCATGCCATGCACCGCATGTTGCACAGGTAAACTTGCTGTTACACCTCAAACGCACCACTCAGTGTTTGAGAGCATGCCGGCTCCATATTCGGAGATAGTCGGTTCCACGACTTGTCTGCTATGCAGTCGCCAGATGCCAATCCATCTCTGCCTGTTGCCCAAGGGCTCTCCCCCTCCCCCCCAACCGCTGCGGTGCCTCACGATGCCTCCTGGGCGCTCATAGCATTGGCCATTGGTCTTGCTTGAAAAGATGTAGCTGTTCTATTTGTATGTAGACAGGCAGTAGACATATCCGAATCACCAAGCAAATCATAAGAGAATATGAGAAACTTCTCTCGGGGGATCAAGGTCAATGCGGCAACCTCTTGCTTGGATGGGAAGCTGCTGTTGCCCCAATCCCGAGGACACAGCGCGTTTCATCAGCCAGCGCTCGGCTCAGAATCCCTGCATTGCAGGATTGGCGTCCTGGTGAATAGCGATGTGTGCAGCTTGTTCCCTGTATGGGGCCCTCAAGTGCCCTTGGCTGCATCTCCAATGTGCTCAGGTTGTTTGCTGCCGGAAAGTTCCCATCGAAGCGAGCTTTGTTGCACAGCACCAGCAGGCGCATCCATCACAACGGCCGGACATTCTGCAATTGCTGAGGAGTTCTGGCAGACATCGGTAGTTTTGCGTAGCTGGCATGTGAACCGTGATGTTCTGGAAAGGAAAAATTGAATTCAAAAATGGCAGGCGGGCGCGTGAAACTGCAGCGAAATTGCCAGTTCACATCCAGGACCTGGAGGTCTGGCGTCTTGGCTTTAGCAGTAAATCAGCCATCGGCAGCCAGCCAGTGCCAGCATTTTTCAAATGTCCCGTCGTCAGCCCAGGAATGCAGACTTGCTTCGCGAGACGGCGCAGCCCTTACGAGGGCGCGTCGCGTAAACGCCATATGCGCAGAGGCGCATTTGCACACGAACAAGGCCAACAGCCTAGTCTTTGTTAATGGTGGTTGTGATGTTCTTGTGCTACCGAGGATCCGACGAACAAGCCGTTTCGGGCGGAAGAAGTGTTCAACCGGCTTTTTGCGACACCAGAGGCCAGTGGAGAAGACACTTGTTTCTCATGTTTTGATCGCATGCCGGCTGCAATCTGGGCATGAAGGAAACCCTGCCGAGAACATACTGCAAGTAGGTATGTAGCAGGAGGTAACAGGAATCTCAGGTCCCTTGTGCCCGTATTCTGGCTATATGCCTACTATGTAAACTGCGGGGTTTCCTGTTTTGGGTTCCTGTTGAGTTTCCTTTGGCATGGGGCAGGCTGGTGACTCTGACACTCTGATAATCGTTGCCCACAACAACATCATTTTGCACCTTGGTATCTGACTGTCGCCATGCCTCACTCACCTTGTTTCGGAGCACTTGCGGGCGTAAGGTACATGCTGATGCGCGTAGCCCTCGGCAGTCACACGCATTCTCTGCATGGAGCAGTCAAATGCCGTCCTCTTCCGTCTTGGAAGGTTTGAAATCAAGCCATGGAAGCTCTCCGAGCCCCTGCTGTGAGGTGCCGCAGGAGTGCCGATTGAACGCGCTGCACAGGTGGCGGGCAGATTGCGCTGACCAGACGCCCCAATGATTTCAAATGACTTCAAGCGTTCCGACACGTGGTAGGTGGTGGGGCAGCAACTAGCTCTGTCACGCGTGAAGGCTTGGACCCTGTTTCATCTCCGACACGCGTCCATCACTCGTGTGGATGTCAGCTCCCTCGGCACGACGCAGGCAAGGCTGGCGCTTCGCTGTTGGACGTCTTAGCGTTTCGGTACATACCGCTACGTCGCTACCCACACATGTCATTTCCGATGGCAGTGAGCTTTTTGGTGAAGTTGGGCAAGCGATCCCCGTGGCAGGTGGTTTCCATTGGGGCGTCTGCACACATTGCAGACACCGTTGCTGCCTCAATATTAGGGTGACCTCGGTTTTGCTGAACTCTGTCGGGGCGCAGCACCATGCAATCCCCGAAAACCCACGCCCAAAGTGAAACAGCACCCCTGCTCGATATTTTGCAGCTTTTGGCTGCTGCATTCCTGTGCTCATTACAGATGCGAGCGCTCCGGAAGAGCTGTGAAGCTGGTCAAACGTGCACGCAGGCAATAACCTGGAAAAACGTCACGGGCCACATCCTCAGTTGCCAAAGCTGCAATTCCATGGCAAGGGGCAGACCGGCCTGTCATGGGGTTCGCAATGCCGTGCTCGCGCTTCGATCGGAATAACGGCCCTAGTACTCTTATGCGAGCAATCTCAACGATGCAACGCGCTGTTGACATGATAATCGAAGTCCGTTGTAGTTTGGGGCTGTGTGCACGTTTGAATGCTCGTGTGCCAGAGACACATCTCTCTTAGCATCAGCCCTGATCCTGCTGAATGACAGGCTTGTGAAACTGTGTTGCCCCTTTGAAGGTGCTGACATGTCTGCGTGGAAAGGAGGAGGTTCCGAAGCTGAGCTGTGCAGCAGTCGGGTAGCAAACGCATGCGCAGCTGAAGTTTCATAATGACCCCTTGCAGTGAGACTTCTAACACTCTTCAAACACTCTTCAAACCATCTCCGCGCCCCAGGCCCAGAGCGGCACAAGTTTGGCGGCCGCATGCTGGTTTTAGCTGTGGCGCTCAGTGCAGTGCACCTGCAGTGTTCAATGCTGGAGGAGGGCCCCGGGGGTCGCACTGCACTTTACATGGAATAGCTATGCGTTGCCGCAAAACAAGTGTAACGTCACGGGACTCTGGCGAAGAGATGTGACATGACAGTGCTGGTAGTGGCACTGAATACTAAACGAGGTGAGACAAGCCGGCGGCGAAGGCGCCTTCTTCGCAGGGTGAACCGAAGCACTTGAGCATTTGGCAAGCTTACTCCTAGCTCTTTGGTGGGAGCTCCTGTTCCAAGCTTAGCCGTAGGAACAAGTAAGCACGGCTTTTCGACCGCATGGACCTTCGACCTTTACTCCTTGCACGCATCCGAGTCCATCCGCAATGAAAGCCAGGAGATGGATATCATGTGAGAACCCACCCCCCCACATTTTCACGTGACTTCTGTTGAGCTCACTTAACAGTCATATGACTTCAAGCACAGGAGGGAGAACGAAAGAAAGTGAGGAAAACAAGCACTTCGGTCCGGTCGGTCCGGGCAACCCGCTATAACTCGCCTTTAACGCTCAGCTCAAATTGTGAATCTGCAGTTAGTATCGGAAGTATCTGCCACCATGCAGCAAAAACAGTGCCGAGACCGTCCTTTGAAGTTGTTCGCGGATGTTCCCGTTGGTTATTGCAAGTCTGCGCAAATTCCACAGTCGATCCTGGAACCAGCAGAGCAGACAGTGCTCATCATACATTTCGCAGAGCGCTTTCAAAGCTGCTTCCATTCAGGGCCTTGCCGTGTCAATCGTCTTGTCAGGCACTGGCGCTGAGATCAGCCAACAGATGCAATCTGTTGCAGACCACGTCAAAAGTCTCAGCGGCTACATGATGTTGCCGCCTTGGCTTCTCAGGCTACCAACCGGTTTATAGTGCTAGCGTGTGCTTCTTGAGGTCTGGAAAGGCAGTTGTCCGAGCCTCAGGCGTGTCCAGCCGCACAGAGCAGAGAGGCGACTTTCCTCCACGTCCAGAGTGGACTCCGTGTACCAGCGCAAGGTTGCTTGCACCAGCAGTGCGCAGTCGACAGCTGCTGTCCTCGCCAGCAAGTTCAAAGCTGCAGCTGGGTCGCATGGATCCATGATGATCCAAGATACAGCAAGTACAAAGATGCTCAAATTGCGTTTGCAGAGTTGCGTTGCAATGTGTTTGAAACTCTTCAAAGGTGCCACAGCTTTTTCCAGACAGCATCCTGGAGCAGCCTGAGGCTTGCTTGCCTGTCCCGGCAGCCTTGTATCACTCTTGTATCTCATCCTTGGTCAGCGTTCAGGCAGCTTTCCTTCAATTCTTCCAGGCGCCTGATGAAGGACTCGACGCTCAAAAGCTGCGACGTTCATGCTCCCATACCTAAATAGGAATATACTTGTTCTTCTCGCAGTACGATGTGCGAGGTTTAGGGCCAAGCCGCAGTTTGGCTTTCTCCCCACACGGGCAATATCTCCATGCACTGAGTTCATGGATCTTCTTCTCTTAGAGGCATGGTTCACAGATGTCAGAAAGAACGCCTTGCAACAGTCTATCCTGCAATGCCGCTTTTGCATCTTGACATCCCTCAGTCAATGCTGCGCAGTTCTCTGGACATCTTGCACACGCGATGCAAGGATCCCGAGACACGGTCGTCATAGTCTCGGAGGAGAGGATCAGAACTTGATCCACCAGACTTGTGCAGAAGAGGCTTTTGCAGGAAGGGTTGGCGGCTCAGTTGGTTGGACATACTGGCACTGGCTGCTGCGAGGACACTTTGCTGCTATACATGCTGCTTCGATCCCTCGGTATGCCGCTGGACTCAAGATTGGGCACAGCACAGTATGTACGTATGTGTGTGTGTGTGCTAGTGTGTGAGAAGCTGCATATCCATGTGGGACCAGCTGTGGGTGGACGCCCAACCGTACTGACCAGAAGAGTGTCCCATACGGGACTCACAATGCCATGCATCCAGAGGATGCGAGAAGGGTGAACTGGAACATTAAGCAGCACATTGCAAAAAGTATGTCAAGCACTACGGCTAGCGAACCAAGGTCCAAGTCAGAGCAGTAGCAACAACAATAACTTCAGTCGTACCTGTACTAGCATCAGTCGTCGTCGTCGTCGTCGTCGTTGCGTCGTCGTCGTTGCGTCGTCGTAGTCGTAGTCGTAGTCGTAGTCGTAGTCGTAGTCGTAGTCGTAGTCGTAGTCGTAGTCGTAGTCGTAGTCGTAGTCGTAGTCGTAGTCGTAGTAGTCGTCGTCGTAGTAGTAGTAGTAGTAGTAGTAGTAGTAGTAGTTGTTGTTGTAGGAGGAGGAGGACCAGTAGGAGGAGTAGCAGCAGCCGTACTAGTACTCCTACTCCTACCCCTTCCTACTCCTGCTCCTGTTCCTGCTCCTGCTCCTACTCCTACACCTCCTCCTCCCACTCCTACTCCTACTCATACTCCTGCCAGCGACTGAGCCAGCTCTGGCAACGAGCGAGAAATTGCCCAGCACTAGCACGAGCCCGAGGGCAAGCGCTCCTGAGGTTCGAGCGTTGGGGGAGCGTTAGTACCTTATTTACCTTTCATCATCGTTTTAAATTTTCACGGTATATTTTGAAATTTTGGCACCTGGTGATTTATTTATCTTCTCATCAGTATTTCATTTTTTGTCATTTCTAATTTTTGTACCATTCCATTGTTTGTTTCCCAGAGTCAAACTCTTTGGAAAATTCCGAGAGAGTTGATGAACAGTATGTCTGTTTGCTAGGGTGCCTTGGCGGCATTGGAACTGTGGGGCTGCGTTACGGGTGGCCAGTTGTTTCCATCTCAGCAAGGTCCGCGGACGAGTCAAAGACAGCGTTGCCTCTGTACAGCATCGGCCACGGGTGCGATGCTCAGCTTGACGTTCCTTGGACTGCTCGCATAGCTCGCCTTCGATGCGCGGGTGGTGGACACCGGGTAATCATGCGGTGTGCACGCAGCAAGAAGCGGCCCCGAGCAAGAGAATGGCATCCCGTCCTTTTGCCTGAGTTCTGTACGTACGTCTGAACTACTGCATAGCAAGCACGTTTGAGTTGGCTTTCTTTCCGGCACTTGGCCAGGTCGGTGACTTTGGTGAATCTCAGGAACGACGGCACCACCAAAGTCGTAGGAGCTTCTTGGCTGTCAGTTACAGCGAGAGCATGTTTTTTGCCTGCTACACCTGGCGTCTGATTTGTCAAGCGAAGAGACGCGGCAACAATGCCAATAAGGTTGGGGACTCGTACCACCTGCCCTTCGGTGACATCCCGAACTAGGGAAGCGACATCCTAGAGTCGTGTTTGCAAAGGGAACGGATCCTCGAAGGCGGCTTCTCCAAGCAAACCATGTGGGATTCAGATCTTCATGCAGAAGTAACAGTACTCATTCCTTTGCTGAAAACAGCAGGGAAGCAAGCTTGAGCATTGGCCACATGGGGAAAAGGCAGTGCGCGCGATCTTGGGTCAGCATGACACTTTCAGATGCCTTTGGCGGCCTTGCAAGGCGTACATACTTTTAATGCCGTACTGTTGACCCAGGCATGGTTGTGACCTGTCTCCCAAACACGGAGACCTGTCGCAACTGCAGGTGCTAGTTATTTGGAATTCCAGGCGTGACCCCAGCAGCTGCTTCGGTTTGTTCGTGTCTTTGGGCAGCAATGGGCAGCGAAAGTGCTTTCTGTTTTGGAATGCTGCGGCAACGGCCGATTTTTACGGCATCATCATTTCAGCAACACGTCTACGTGAATACACTGAAATGTAGCTTGCGGTAGACGTTCAGATTTCACGTGCGTACTTTTTTTGCAGATGCCCCGGCCCATATCCTGTAATGATTCGAGAGGCTCCCAATAACAGCACTTCTGATTGTTACATTCTGACAGTTGACAGATGCGAGGCATATCAGATTATTGCATTGCTTGCAGTCCCAGTCGCTCATTTTGTTTCTTTGTTTATTTTGTTTGGGGGGGGGAAAGGGGGAGGTGGCATTTGAAAGCCATGTTCTAGAGCTTGGGCCAGGAGGTGCCCGGCACACGTCTCAGAACGTCACGTATCCATGTACGTAACCGTTATAGGTACTGCATGTTGAGAGTTGTTATTCGGAAAATGCTGCTCAACAAACGAATCACAAAAAGCATCGCCCTCGTGCCGGCTTCGCGAACTGTTTGTGATCCTTTGGTGATTTGGTGGGTGTCTGAAGGGGGTAGTGGGGAAGCACCCTGCGATGATGGGCGGATTGGTGCTCCTACTCACTACTACGACCCACCACTAAACCCCTAGTGCGAATTGCAGGCTATTGGGCTATTGAGGGCCATTGCAAGAAACCAAAGGCACAGACCGAAAAAAAAACTCTATTGAGTTGCACATGAGATGCCTGTTTTCGGACTTCTCAGAGTACCTCTTTGACACTTACTGATCACTTCCTTTCTTTACTGGACAGCGCAAACTACAACTTCAAGAGGGCTGTTGGAACTTCTTGACCTTCTTTGCCAGGAATGGCCTGCAATGTATCGGCTGCATCTATAGACGAAGTGGTCTGATCATGTCTGACCCAGAAGATACCAGCCCATTTTTTCTGGACATTGCAGGCTGCAACTTCAAAACTTTATTGGTGCCTTCGGCGTTCGGTTGTGTAGTTGGATTCTGCTTCTTGGCATGTCAAAAGTGGAGGGACTGTTTTTGGTTGCCCAACTGTAGACTGACTCGACAGGCAGTCGCGCGCTTTAGTGTTGTTTTGTTTGGACAGAGCCTGAAATACTTTGAGACCTCGACGAGGGTGATATCCAAATCAGAAGACATGACCTTGAATCAGGCAACCGTGGCTCAGAAACAAGCAGGGGTCGAATCGGCAAATGCCACGAGCGATTCGGCAGCCATAGACACTCCAGGGTCCCCAGGCGTTCTTGTATGGCTTTAGTACGACAGGACAGAACTCTAAACGGGCCCCTATGAAGAAACAAGCGCTCGAGCAGCAGGGTGCAGGGTTTAGGGCTTTTTAGAGTGTAGGTCTTGGGACGTTTTGGGGCGGTTTCAGGGTTCAGGGTTGTTTCGGTTTAGGGCTCAGGTTTGTTTTGGGTTGAGAGCTTGGGGATTTAGGGTTTGTTAGAATTTAGGGTTTTGGGATTTTTTAGGATTTAGGGTTTTTGTAGGGTTTTTTCGGGGGTTTAGAGTTTAGGGGTTTTTCGGGTTTAGGGTTTTTTTTGGTTTAGGCCTCAGGGTTTTTTAGGCTTTAGGGGGTTTTCGGATTTAGGGTTTAGAGTTTAGGGGCTTTTAGGGTTCGGGGGCTTCAGTGTTTAGGGGTTTTGGGGCTTAGGGATGTTTTGGGGTTTGTAAGTTTGGGATTTTTATCCCCCCTTCCATTTGCAAACGCAATGAGAGTGAGGGGGGGGGGGTTTGGGGGGCGGTTGGGGGGCGGTGGGGCGGTGGGGTTGGGGGGCGGTTGGGGGGCGGTTGGGGGGTGGTTGGGGGGCGGTTGGGGGGCGGTTGGGGGGCGGTTGGGGGGCGGTTGGGGGGCGGTTGGGGGGCGGTTGGGGGGCGGTTGGGGGGCGGTTGTCGGGGTATGTCGGGGTTTGAGTTTTTAGGGTTTAGGGTTTTTGGGGTTTAGGGCTCAGGGGGGCTTTTAGGGTTTAGGGGTTTGTAGGGTTTAGGGTTTTTTTAGGGTTTAGGGTTTAGGGATGTTTAGCGCCAGGTTTTTAGGGTTTAGGGTTCAGGGGTTTTGAGGGTTTAGGGTTTTTACGGTTTAGAGTCTTTTTCAGGGTTTAGACTATTAGAGTTTAGGGGTTTTTAGGGTTTAGGGTTTAGTTTTTTTTTGGGTTTTTGGAATTTTGGGTTTTTAGGGCTTAGGCTTAGGTTTTTTTCAGGGTTTAGGGTTCAGTTTTTTTGGGTTGAGGGTTCAGGGGTTTTTAGGGTTTAGGGTTAAGGGATTTTTTAGCGGTTTAGGGCTTGGGATTTTAGGGTTTTGGGGTTTAGGGGCTTTTTAGGACCTGCAGTAGCAGAACGCACAGAAAAAAGATGCCTTGTGTTGTTCGTGACTTTGTTTTCTAAAGCACACCCTTAAACCCTATCATCTTACCTTAGGTTAGGTTAGGTTAGGTTGGGGCATGTTACGGTGCGGTCGGGGTAGGTTGGGTTAGGTTAAGTTAGGTTCGGCTAGGTTGCCCTAGGTTAGGTGCTCCGGTGGGGCTGGGTTTGCTGATTCGTGCCCTGCTGGTTGCTGTTTCGCCCCTTCTTGTTTTCTGATTTGCCCTCATGTTTGCTGATTCATACTCGGCTGATTCGCCCTTAGCCCACCTCGACGACTAGGTCCCTGCGGAGTCGCGCGAGAGCGAGGGTGGCAAAAAATGGCAGCAACGCCTCAAACACAGGGAAGTGAAGAGTCTCCTTGCAATGGAGCAGCAAGAAAGTCTTTTTTTCCCTTCGAAAGCCACAAGGTTGTGTATGAACACGCATCACGCGCCGTAAGCTCCCAAAGTCTCCGTGTACACCAAAACGCCTACTCACCAACGCTATGTCGGCTCATAGCGTTGCCCGAGGTAGGCACTGCCATGGCTTTGACGAAGAAAGCGTTGGAACTGAAGCAATATCTTCGGGATGCAAACTTGCCGGAAGAGTTCTCGAATCATTGCCTCCGCACTCTGAAGATGGGCTCTCTGGAAGAGTTTGTGTCTCATGTGAGCAGTGCCAACTAC